CCTTTGTCAGACCCTAGGAAATTTCATGTAAATGTATCTCAGGGACACAATGGAATTTAGACTATATTGGCCCCTTTTCTTTAGTTCATTGCTAAATGTAATAAAGCAAGCCAAATTTGTTTTTCTAGAAAGGTGTCATTTTGAGTTATTTTGAGTTCTTTTTGAGGCATAGTAGGCTAGTGTCTCACTCATGGAAAATGTAACCCCATGGAAATCTGATAATTTGACGGTAGAACTTGTAGTCCTCTTCTTCCTCATCCTCATTACCATGGTTAATAGTGATTGAACTTATAATTTTCCATGTAACATAAAAGCTTTATATGTATCATTTCATTTACAATGGGGATGATCATATGATAAAAATATTTTTATGACCACAATGGGGATGATCATATGATAAAAATATTTTTATGACCACCACCACCACCATCATCATCATCATCCCCATTTTGGAATTAAGAAAACCAAAACTTGGGAAGTTAAATAGCTTGTTAAATTCATACAGCTACTAAGTGGCAGAGTCAAGAATTTAAATGATATCCAGACCAGATTTTCTAAGCTCACGTGGAATGCGCCTAGCCTGTCATCTGTCTCTGTCTCCCGGGCAGCCTTGTGGGGCTATGCCAATCATTTGCCCACCCAGGAGCCTTCCTTGTAGTCAGACAGCAGGACTGTTCTACTAAGGGACATGCTTCTTGCAGCGTTAAGAGGTTAAGACAGATTAAGCTAAGCCATCAAAACTTTGCAGACTGCAAATACCTTTCAGATCATTGGGCTTTATAAAGTAAACTTAGTGTGAAAGGTGGACGTGGACACTTTTATTTATTTCATAATACTAGGAAACTAGGGATGTGGGTTATTCTAATGCTCTGGATTCTGTTCTTGTGAATTATGGTAACCACTGTAGAATTTTCTCCTAAAATATTCAATCCAATCTAGTATTTTTATAGGCTGAAGGCCAAAAATTTCAGTACACACACTAAATTAATAAAACCCATTTTTTACATCATTTTTCTAACATGTTTCGATAGCTGAAGTTTTTATTTTAGTTTTATTGGCTTCTTTTCTTTATAGTCTCAGTTCCATTATTCCTTGGAGATTTGCCTATTGTAAATTAAACTTGAACTCTGGGTAACTGATAATTGTTGAGGTGACAGTTTCCAGTAACTGGGTTCTGCTGGGAAACAAGAAATTCCTATGGCTTTTTAAAATAGGTTGACCCTGTGGCTTTGGAAAAATCTTAATTGAAGACAACTATTTTAGTCTTCAACAAACAGAACAAAACAAACAGATTAGCAGAAGTCCAGAATTGTAGGACAAAGTTATAAAATGGTGGTATATTGTAAGAAACAAATTAATAATCTATTTTAAATAACAACTTTGCTGTAAATTAAAAGTTTCTACTAAAAACCCAATTTCCAGCATGATGAAAAATATTTTTAAGTCCATCTAAAACTGTGTATGTCTCATATATGACCCTGAAGAGGCCATTTTTTAAAAACATGAGCTTAACTAAAAAATCATCCAGATTAGTGGAGGAACATTTAACACATTTTCTAGAAATATTTTATTTACAAAGTTTCTGGCATGCATTTGTTATGTGAATCCTGTATTGGGATTACAAATGCACTACTGGGCATGAATAAAGAAATTTTTCCTCCACAAAAGTTGACTGCTTTGGTGAAGGCATGGTTCAGAGTAAGTAATTTGCTTAATTGAGACTTTAGATGAAATATTTAGGGGCTCGTGGGTGGCTCAGAAGGTTAGGCATCTACCTTTGGCTCAGGTTGTCCTGGGATGGAGCTCTGCATTGGGCTCCCTGCTCAGCGGGGAGCCTGCTTCTCCCCCTCCCTCTTCCTGCTGCTCCCCTACTTGTGCATACTTGTGCTCTCTCTCTCTCTGTAAAAAAAGTAAATATTTTTTTAAAAAATTTAGCTTGTGTGACTACACATTAGGAATTTTGAGTTTTTTATGTGTCATTTTATTTGTTTTTATATATCATGCCAATATACTAAAAAGAATTCTAAAAATATATCCTTGAGAATGTAATTTACCTTAATTTTTGCATTGTGTCTATTTCAAGGAATTGCTTTATTTTTTTTCTCTTTCTCCCAAATTACAGCTAAATGAAAACAGTAAATTTAAAGAAGTGGAAAACATCAGAGGAATGAGGGTAGCAATCATCTCTATGGATTTGTCATTTGGAATTTCAGAGATAGTTCATTTGCTATTCCACAGGGTGGCAGTCATAGAGCACAGACTAGAAAGAATGAACCGATTTAAAATTCGAAACAGAAAAGTTAGGAATGTAAACATGATCTTGTAAATTTTACCAGTTTATTGTGAACATGCATTATAACATTGTATATTACACATGTGCCTGAAATCAATGAAGTTAAAATTCTTAGTACATAATTAGGTAAAATATGTAAGGCGAGAAATGAAATGTAACATGAGTATGGCAGTTGGGATTGGAATAGTTTTTATGTTGGCTTTTTCACTGTTACACAAAGAATTTAAAAGCTAGGGTGCTCTGTATTAAACTTTTTCTCAACCAAGAAATTTTGATTAATATCAAAATTTGATTAATATCAAAAATTTTGATTAATATCAAAATTTTGAGCAGCCTATAAAATCATTAAAATGTACACAGTGCGTGTGTTTGTGTCTGTGTGTGTGCATGCATGTACACATGCACATGTGTGTATCTACCAAGAAAAATATAAGCGTCTTGGGTATATTAGAAAGATGTTGGAAATACTGTAATGGTAAGGCAGTTGGAAAAATTGTAAGAAGGTTGAATTTAAAATTCTTTAAGATCTTAGTCACCATGGGGAGGGAAATTTCAGAAAAATAGTGTCAACAACATCTATATAAGGCAAATAAAAATTAAGAGGTACAGATTATGAAATTATGGGAATAATTCAGTCAGTCTTTTATTTACAGAGCTGAGGTTCTGTGTGGCAAAGTAACACACAGGGAGAGGCACACACACACTGTTTGGTGTGCTTTAAAATGTTACACCTCTACACCCAGGTCTGATTCTGAATTTCTTAATTTGGATAACTTCTAAGATCTTCATGTCTGCAAACCTCAGGGTTAGCCACAACTTTTGGAGTAAAACAAAGCAACGAGTATTTTTGTTGTTTGAGGGAAGTTTCTGTTTTGCTTTTTTACTAGTATGTATTTTGACTGGGTTGTGTTTATTTGGACTGTTTGATGACTAGCATCAGTCAAAATCACATGGTATGTGTTTAAGTGGAACCCCTATGTTAGTAGAAATGCTTGCCTCCCAGGTACATTGATAGAATAATTCATTTAGTCTTATTTATTTCTCTTCACTGAAAAGTCTTTTGTGGAAAAATATTTTACCAGAACACTGTTGTGGCAAGAGAGACACTAAGACAAACCAGTGCTTTAAATTGAAAATTTGAGGCACACTTTCAAATCTTCACTGTGAAGATTTCCCCCATGCTTTCTGGGGCATCTGGGTTTTTTCCCTGCCCTTAATTCGTGTGACAACTGTTTAAGGTATAGCAGTGAAATTGAATTATCAGCTGGGTGACATACCTGTTTACAGAAATACTTCCGTTTAGGAGTAAGTTCAACTATGTCAGAGGCAACACTAACCTTGAAATATGATCTGTATAGACAGCCCCCAAAATAAATTTTTAGAATTTAAGAAAAGGAAATTGGCACATTTAAGGAATACAGGTTGAGGGTTAAGATAGGTGTCGGCAACTTCCGTTAACGTAGAATAGGTCACTTGTCCTTCTAAGTTGAGATGATTCAAATTCAGATGTGTCCTGCAAATATCTGAGGCAAGCCAGAAGCCAGGACGAGTGAAGGGTGGCTCACAGAAAACTTTACCAGTGAAACAGCACCATCTCCAGTGTACATTTTGGGACAGGGATTGTTATGAAGTGATCTCTGTGTGGCCAAGACCAGTGGAGGAACAGAAAACAGATGTGAAATCTCTTCTGAGATTTGTGCTCTGCGGTCATGTGCAAAGATGAAACAGGCGAAACAATTAGAAAATGTCAGTTCAAACAGTCAATCGACATGAATTAGGGAAAAGCTGTTAACATAGTTCAAACCAGAATGTGAATTCATGGAAAAGTGATTTTCTGCATGTTTATCTTTAGAAAAGGCTAAAATGTTTAACTTAAAATGCTGGTTTACTTAGATTACTAAATTGGTAAAAATCAATATATCCTAAATAGCCATTTTGTTAAAAATTTGTTGACATTGAATTTATCCTCTATATTCTTATATTATTATGAAATTACAGTCTTTTCATAATTAAATATAATGGGTTCTGATAAACGTTTATGTTACTATAATTTAAAAACGATCTCAACAGAGTTTTTAAAAATATTTGCATATCTTATAGCACATTAGAAACAGTCGATATTTTGGTCATCTTTCAAAATTCTAGGAGCTTAACATGCGTATTTATGTATGTGAGTTCTCTTTTATAGAAAGTAATAGGACACCATAATCATGTATGTACATACTAAATATTTTCATGGTGTGAAAGTAGTGAAACTATCACTAAGATAATTGCCTTCAACAACTAAAAGCATGACCTCCCTCCTACCTACTTTGTTATAATCACATATTTATGAAATAGGAATTATTATTTCTACTGATTATTTTTTGTAGTGACTAGGTATGCGGATAATATGTTTGAACCAGGTGAGACAGGCGAAGTCGGGTGGGCGTAAAAGATGCCATTTCTTTGAATATGCAACCTTAGGATCGGGACCGGGTACCAGGCACCCAAGTACTGTCTTAAACTGAGTGACTGATGTCCCTGTTGAGAGTAGGTTATGGGGTTTCTCTCTGGTGACTTCCTGAAAGATTGACTGCCTTGATTTTTCTTGTCACATTTATCAGCTGAAAAGCATGCTTTCATTTGTTTTTTGCTTTGGCTCTTTTGTGTTGCCATCAGTTAAATTGCACGCAGCCTAACGGATCCTTGTGTTCCCATTCACCAGGTGCGCGTGTTCACATTTTCAGTTGGTCAGCATAATTATGACAGAGGACCTATTCAGTGGATGGCCTGTGAAAATAAAGGTAACAGATCTGCTTTCTCGACCGCATTTTAATACTAAAACTAAATTGGTAGTTGTTGTTCTACGTATTCTCTTTTAAGATCCAGTTGTAGCTAATGTTTACGGGAATAGAGACAAGTGTAAGATGTTGAATGTTGTTTTTTTGGTTTTTGTGGGTTTTTTTAGATTATTTGGGAGAGAGAGAGCAGGGCAGTGGGGGGCGTGGGTTGTGAGTGGCAGAGGGAAGGGGGAGAGAGAGTCTTTTTTAAGCAGCCCCCACATTGCTGATGCAGGCTCAGTCTCAGGACCCAAGCCAAAGCCAAGAGTCAGACACTTAACTGACTGGCCACCCAGGTATGCCAAGATGTTAAATGTGTTTTCTGCGGAGAAAACCCACACACAAAACACTTGGAAATTATTACTATTACTATTATAGTATATAAAAATTCAGACATTTGATCATATGATATCTGATATCATATATTGATATCATTCTATGCTTTATTTAAAGATACTTAATGCTACTCATCAAATAGAATCTTACCTGAAAAATTAGAAATGAACGAATATCTGAATTACATAAAACGTACATGTAAGAAAGTATGACATATAAGTTCCTTTTTTTCCTGAGTGGTTGAATTTTCTTTAAAATATCTTACACATTCCTAGGTAATTCTCGTTTTGTGTAGTGAGCCTCTGTTCCCTATGTACACAGAAAAAAAACTGAAAATGTTATTTGAAAAACTGATCACATAGCAATAAAGGGAACCTCAATTTATTACAAAAATCATATTTAGGCAAATATTTCATATAAATGTAATTGTCAGATACCCATTATCATGTGTCTTTAAGAATTTCTCCAGCAATAGAGTATTTTAAATAATGCCAGGTTCCCTACTGTGAAGTAGAAAAACCACATATATATCTGATACAGTTTATAAGAAACATAGTGAAATTTCTCACAAAGCTTATGCATTTGTTAGGGATATACATTAATCCAACCTTTTCTGCATTTATTGGTGGTATTGATATGTTAGTGTTTGCTCAATTAGAAGTGAAAAAAAAAGGTCTTTTTTCCTCCAAAGACCTAAAAAGTTTCGTGGCCATGTATGGTAATATGATATTTAGATATATAAAAATATGTATGTGTATGTTTCAGGTTATTATTATGAAATTCCTTCCATTGGAGCAATAAGAATCAATACTCAGGTATGGTTATTAAAAATTTGTTTAAATTATGTTTTCAAAGAAAAAGATGTTTCTTTGCTGCTTTAAATATGGCCAGTTGGAGAAAATAGGTGAAAGTGAAAAAATGATCCATAGTATTGTATTTGTAACGAAATGATGAGTATCATGGTGATGTATTGATTGCTGTTTCATTAAAGTTCCAAGTGTTTTCACATATTGAAAACTCAGGTAAAAAACTATGTGTGCTGTTCTTCTAAGATGTTAAAAACATCACCGAAAATAAATAAAATGAAAATTTACTAACAGTCTTGTTTCATTTAACTTGAACTCGGTTCTATTTCAGATGACTTAAATTAGTTTCTTCAAGGTACAGGTCCCACAAAGAAAGTTAAGCAATACTTAATCTGGACAAACTATATGGATTCTAACCAGAATTCAGATAACTTCTCAAATAACCTCTGTAGATCTATTTACCTGTTTAAAATAAAACTTTCAACAAGGAGATGATTTTTTCTATAACCATTTATTTTATTTTATTTTAATTATTGATTTTTTTTCAAATTTTTATTTAAATCCTAGTTAGTTAACATAAAGCGTAATACTGGTTTCAGGAGTAGAATGTAGTGATTCATCATTTACATGAAACACCCCATGCTTATCCCAACAAGTGCCTTCCTTATCCCCATCACACATTTAACCATTCAGTTTAAAATATGCCTGTTAAATAACCTTGTAGAGTGAAGCAAATTAATTTAAATGTATATTATTTTCAAGTATTCATAAAAATTTAAAATCCTTACTCAACTTTAAACATAACTGAGGATCCACAAAATAGACCGAGTCAAAATTGAACATAAATAACATGGCATCTGTAGAACTGAATACTGACTATGTTTTATGTTGAAATGAAACAGCAGCTGCACTTCAGTCTGATGTCTTACTTGGCACAAGTATTTCATTTATTTTTTGATATGTTTAAATGTAGCTTTGAATTTCAGCCAAACAATCTGTGATATGAAAGCAAGTATGCGGCTGCTTTATTATTTCACATTTGCGTGATTCCATCCAGTAAATCACAGAGACTTAAATAGTTTAGATTAACGTAAAGCAATTCACAAGGAACGTATTTCACTTATCATTGGCTGTACCTCAGAAAAAGAATGTTTTGTTATTAGAAAAAAACTGGGGTAGATCTATTGTATAAACAACATGAGCTGAATATTGTTGATTCAAAGTATGTAGAGATACCAGTTATGGTCTGTCCAAAATAGGAATTAAATGGTTATATATTTACTCTCTTTGAGTCCATATTTATTTTTACCTCTAGGTAATTTTCTTCTGTAGAGTTATTTTGGTTTTGTTTTTAGTATAGCATTTCCAGTTTTCAACCCCTTAACCTTTTCTTTCTTTTTTTCTTTTTTTTCTTAATAGGAATATTTGGATGTTCTGGGTAGACCAATGGTGTTAGCAGGAGACAAGGCTAAGCAAGTCCAATGGACAAATGTGTACCTGGATGCACTGGTAAGACACTGGCTCTTCAGCCACAGACCATCCTAACCAAAGCATGCAGCCATTTCTGCTACCTTCTAGGTGACATTTATCGTTTCCAAAAGTTCTTCTAGTGCAACCTTTTTTTGCTAGAATTTAGATAATACACTTAAAAACTTAGACTTGTCTAATCACAGATGTAAAGTGTTACTTTATTTTTTAGGTATTCTGTTATGAATGTGGGATTTTGAACCTCCAATCTTTTTTTTTTTTTAATTTTTTATTTATTTGACAGAGAGATCACAAGTAGGCAGAGAGGCAGGCAGAGAGAGAGGGGGAAGCAGGCTCCCTGCTGAGTGGAGAGCCCGATGCGGGGCTCGATCCCAGGACCCTGGGATCATGACCTGAGCTGAAGGCAGAGGCTTTAACCCACTGAGCCACCCAGGCGCCCCTCGAACCTCAAATCTTGAATTTGTGGCCCTTTCAATAACATTTTGAATTTTTATGTTAAAAAAAAAAAAAAAAGTACTGGGATGCCTGCGTGGCATAGTCGTTAAGCGTCTGCCTTCAGCTCAGGTCATGATCCCAGGGTCCTAGGATTGAGTCCCAAATCGGGCTCTCTGCTCAGAGGGAAGCCTGTTTGTCCCTCTCCCGCTCCCCCTGCTTGTGTTCCCTTTCTCACTGTCTCTCTCTATATAAAATAAATGAATAAAATCTTTAAAAAAATAGTATGCTAAAGTCATGTGAATGTATACCTGCTACTGCAGACTTTGAATAAAAATTGGAGGAAAGGTTTTTAAAGTAGACTTCAGCTAGCAGATGCATGTACAGCCTCCACAACTCAAGCCATACCCAACAAAGCTCAGAAGGAAATAGGCAAAGAATCTTAGCCTACTCTGAAGTCATCACAAACCTAATAACCTCTTTGTATGTAATCTCTGCTTTCAAATTCAACCCCATATTTTTATGGAAATAAGCCATTGAAATGATCAAACGTGGTATGATATAACAAAAACGTTACGTTTTCCATTGTGTAATGGAAGTTTTAATATAAGTATGCTATGGTATTTCAAAGCAGCGGTGCTCAGTTGGGGGTGATTTTGCCATGCACAGGTCATTAGCATGTATCTATGGATGTCTTCTATTATTGTGACTAGGATGGGGAGGGCTTGCCTCTGGCATCTCATCAGTAGAGGCCAGGGATTATGTGCTTATAGTAAACGTTGTCCAATACACAGGACGGTCCCCTCACTCCATGCATGTGCATACAACAAAGAATCATTCAGCTCAAAATAGCATTAGAGCTTAAGTTCAGAAAACTTGTTTAATGTACGTTTTACTTTTCCTAGTGTTAAAGTTATAAATAGTAAATAACATACTTAAGATTTATTCATATGCTTAATCTTGATGAGAGGACTTTATTGATGATTTGATTAATGTAATATATCAGGGAGAACCAAAATACTGAGCCCTGAAAAGTAAATGCTGATTCAATAACCCTTTCTCCTACTTAGAGTACAATTATATGCTGATACTACTTCTCTGAATGCAGTGATGACCCCAAAGAGCAAAATGCAATCCATTTAGAATTACTTATCATTTGGTTCTTGTAAAATAAACATATACAGGAAGTTGGAAGAAAAATAGGCACTATTAACAGCAGCTTTGCATGCTAAGAAAGATAAAGTGAAGCTTGCTTACCTCAAGTCCTAGCTAAAATTACCATCCAGTGTTCCAGTGTTCCTTCTTGACATCACATATTTATTTAAGGTCACATGGTCATCTAGGCTATGGTCAAAATGCCTCATTTTTCCGAATCCATCACAGGACAGGGTATGATAGGAGGAGTCAATAATTATGCCTTGTAGGATTTCCTATGACCAGAAGTTCATTAACCAGCAGTCTGCATTGTTGGTAAGCTTCTTACTGATAGCGCACGTGACGTTAGGGAGAGATTTTTGGTTCTAAATGTGCTGTTTAATAAGCTGAAACTAAATGTAAAACAAGGAAAAAAAAAAAAAAAAAGAGTCACAGGAATTGGCCAGCCAGTGGACACATAGAGCATTCTTTTACTAACTTGAGAATAAAAGTGAGTGTCTTGTATTTCTAATTACATGTCCATAATCTCTGCACGTCGAAGATTCACAGTATATGCTGTTCAGTGCATGCCGGTTACATTAAAAAAAAAAAAAAGTAAATATTCCAAGACCTATCCCAAGGCAAAAATGTAATAAACATAATGAGAACAATGAGAAGAACTCTGGCAATTCAGAAGAAAAAAAGCTGTGTATTTGGGGATGGTGTAGGGTGAGCTTAAACAGTTGGTGATAGTTTAGCTGAACTTGAGAGTTCAGGTGAGGTTTCTGCAGTTGGCGGGGAGCAGTGAAGCCACACAAAAAGGGTGCGGTATGATCGGGCAGGTGCTGGGTATGTTGGAAAGATGCTATCTCGGTCACTTGGAGGTAGGAACAGAAACAGGACTGGGACAGTATTGTGGATGGTTCATTTTATTTGGGAGGTAAAATGAGGTTCTTTGGACAAAAAGAAAGGTGAAAAGAGTTGGAATCAAGAAAATAAAAATATCACATAAATTCCTGGAGAACAGAAATCTTATTTCTCTTTTTTGTCCTCTAGAGACTGGCACAGTGTCTAGGAATAGAGTACAATTTTTTTGTCCTCTTAGTAAATGAGAGACAAAATAGAAATTGGGCACCAATGAGTTCATCAGTGATGTTGTCTCCTCTGTTAGAAGTCTAGTATCTTATTTTAGGGCAGATATTACCATATTTAGAAGCAAATTACCATCCTCTGTATAAATGCAAATGTGAGTGCTGATTGTCTCCATATATACTTTATCGTATATCATTCTAGCATTTTAAAAGCTGTGCATATATGTTGCAACTCAAATAGTAATTTCTCCGAAAGGAGTATTTACAGAATTATGTTTTGGAAACAAGTTGTATGAATTATCTATAATCTGACTTTATTGAGGTGAAAAATTTTCATCGGGAATGTGAACTTACATATTTAACTAAGGCTGTTTCCATTGTTGAATATTCTGGCTTACAACTCAATCGAGAGCCACCATGTGTATCATCGTGCACCAATTATGTGTAGCTGTTTTCTTAATTGTGTTTGTCCCAAACAACTTGGTATCTTGTTATACTAAAAGCCTCTGTGTGATTGTCCTTCCTTAATTCGGTTCCCATTGTTTTTGGGCTTCCCACATGATTATGAACTATTGCCCAAGACATTTTCTCCACGAAGCCGTGCTGTTTCTGGAATTAGAACAAGGGTCATGAGATGTTGATTTGGGGTTATTATTATTCACAAGAAGGTTATTAACATTTTCTCAGCCTAGCAAATTTGAAATTTTAAGCGGTAATTTTTAAATCATTTTAAAGTGTTGCTCTTTTGAAAATGTAGTTTTGACATGAAATAATGGCAAAACTATATGTAACTGCTATAGATAGCAGTAATAAAAGAAAAAAACTCTGACCTGAAAATCGGTTAATTTCCACCGCTCTCCTTGGATTCATTTAATATCTGAAATTATGTCCATTCTGATTAACACTAGGTCATTATTTTTGTTCATGTGTATTTTGCTTCATGACCAGACTGTTGGATTTGATGCTTACCGTTAGCTACATTATTTTACTTTGTCAAAAAGTACTATTCATTTTGGAGGGTATTTAGAAGCATTATTTCATCTTTAGAACAGCGTAGTATTTAACTAGACTGTTGCAGAAATGCAGTATTGATAGTGCGTTTCTTCTGTTTATCCTGCTCTACATCTGTGATGTAGCATGAAGCCTTTGGCTTAGGGCATGAAAAAATTAAGAATGAAGCTAGCAAAAGGAAGGCAAATAAATCCTATGAAACAGTATTTTATTATCAGCCTGCTGATGGAATCCCATGATGTCAGGTAAACTGTCACTGTGAACAGAAGGGTGGAAGGGCAGGGTGACTGAAATATTTAGTATCCTTTGATTTATTTATTTTTTTTAAAGTTATTTGCAGTGCTCTCTTGGGCTATTATTTTAGATGTTGCATACTTCAGTAGCTGCCTAATCGATTCTGATTATTTCCCAGACTTTTTCATTGACGTTTTAAAGAAAATAAAAATAGAAGTTTTTTAAAAAGCTTTCAAAATGCCTTAATAATTCTTTGTGTCTCTTTATAATGTAACCATAAAATCCAGAGTCAGTCAGATACCAGAGACTAATGCAGAATGACAAAGTTTAAATTGTAATTCTAATTTGCCTTTTCTTTCTGAATCTATTTTTAGGAACTAGGACTTGTCATTACTGGAACTCTTCCGGTCTTCAACATAACAGGCCAAGTTGAAAATAAGACAAACTTAAAGGTTAAAAGTTAATTGATAAAATTAATAATAATAAATGATAAATGGTGACGTTGAAGCTGAGTGTGGATAAGATATTTCTATAAGGAAATACATACAAAGTAACTGGCTTGTGAGACCAGAAGTAAGAGGGAACAGCTGCCTATGTGATAACCACCTGGGAAAAAGGAAATGCAGGTCAAGTTCTCTGTTTCCCCAGAGCCAGGATTCAACTTAACTCTATTTAAGTATGAACTGATGAGAGCACAAGTTCAGACTCTGGGAGTAATTACATGATAAATGGGCAATACTATGGTATCCCCCCCGCTTTTTTTTAATGTGTCTGAGATATCCTTGTAGCTCAGAAAGAAAAATCCCAAAACAAAAACCATGGTGATGTTTGTAGCCGGTGTATAGAGGTATATTTATTGAATCATTCCTCCTCCAACTCCCATTCAACCAATATTTTTTAATCATAACATAAGTGTCTGATTTAAAATGGATAATTCCCCATTTTTTTCTACTTTTTAAGATTCAAGAAAAATACTACATGAATTTCTTAGCAGTGTTGATTTCTGGAGCACTGGTAATATTAGTGCAATAAGATGCTACCAACTTAAGGTTCTGAAAAATCTATATCTTGTATTTGCTAAATTCCATTCCTTATTTTTCGAATACTCCTGATTTTGAAGGAGGGTTATGTTCCTATTTCTTAGCTTGCATCAGAAAGAATTTAGGATTGCAGGAAAAATTCAGATTTTTTTTAATACTAAATACTGATTTTATGGTTTGCTTGACGTTCCAGATTAGAGGGAAATTTATTTCCAGTTTATGGCATAATGAAATCTTCTGCACTTTCTATTCTTTGTTAGTTATTATAAATTTCAGTTGAGCTCTTTCTCTTTTAATACTGTGGCCATCAAAAACACTAGTTATTCCTCTTTGGGAAACCATTATTATTAAATATCTGTGGGATCTAAATCACTTAATCCATAGAAGAGTAATTGTCTAACTCTCAGATGGACTGTGTAAGGAATTGCTTTAATTAGGAACTTTTGTTTAGAGTAGGATTGGTCCCTGGCAAAAGAATATGATTGTTGACAAAACTTTCTCACTCTCTGTGTACCTGTACAAAATTCACAGTGTTCTCATAATAACTGTTGAGTGGATTTTATAATTTTCTTTGTAACATTTTATTTTGTAATTTACATAATTCTATTTGTAACAAAAATTCACAATTCTAAATTTTAACACCATTTTCATCTTTAACGTCCCTGGGAAGAATATGATAGCAGTTTGCCACCTAGCCCTGTTGACTTGGAACTAAAGTTTTGATGCCCATTGTTTCATATTTAGAAGTTACCGGCACTGAGAAACAGGGTCTTGAGGGTTTCTGCTGTTTTATTACAATGAGGTCACATACTTTTCAGGATAGGTACAGTCAACAACCAAAAAAAAAAAAAATTCCATTGTTTTCTCATTTCACATTACCTAATATCTTCAGGCCAGACATTTTTGTGATTTTTTTAATCACAGTATACCACAGTCAGTCACAAAGTACTCTCTCATATATAACGACAACTGACTATACAGAGTGATTAAAATAAATAATAGAGAGAACAAATACAAGCAGAGGCATCAAAGAAAAATTTCCTATTTTTTCTATTTTAGCTGCACTTATCAAGATGTCAATTTTTAAAGTGAAATGATAATCATAAAGTTGTGGGTGAGAATCATTGTAGACTGATACCCAAAAGTGTCTCACCCTTATTATGTTTTAGCTAGTATGGAATACAACTTGTCAAGCAAAGGATGAGCGTATGTAACAATTGTGTAGAAATATATGTGTTTTGAGTATAAAATAACTTCCTTTTTGCTATTTCATTAATAGAACCAGCTGATTCTTGGTGTGATGGGAGTTGATGTGTCTTTGGAAGATATTAAACGACTAACCCCACGTTTTACAGTAAGATGAAATTTACTTTTTGGGTATCTTTTTCATTTTAGAGCTTTGTACTAATTTAGCTTGTCTATAAAGTATTTAAGTAGTTCTCAAAATCATGTGCAGTTAACTTCATGAAAGAGCTAAATGTTAAAAAGGATCTTAAAATATAAAGATACCATGTTATCTTTCCTCATGCTTTAAAATGTATTGAAGATTTTTTTCTTTTAAAGAATGTGATTTCTGGTTGTGATTCAGACATCTTGAAAGTTTTGTTTTTTGTTTTTTGTTTTTTGTTTTTCCCAGCTGTGCCCCAATGGCTATTATTTTGCAATTGATCCTAATGGTTATGTTTTATTACACCCAAATCTTCAGCCAAAGGTATGTATATAATATGTTTATAGTGACTTATGCAATTCTGTAAAATTAATAGTTAGTGTTAAACTCACTACACAGGACTACATATAAAAGAACGTTATACCTATAATGTTAATGGATGACAAGACCACAGTTTATAGCATATGAAAGTGTGAAAGCAGGTCTCATTTTTCTCTTACCAATTCAGCTATCCCATATTTCTATCGAATATTTAACTAACCAGTATTCACACCTCAGAGACCGCCATTATCGCCCCTGCCTGAGTTCACACATCCCACTTGGGATTGTCATTAACGTGGGAAGGTAGTGAGGAGATTGCCCCAGATGGGTGTGAACCTGATAAGTGTAAGTAATGTTCCTCTGTGCTCAGGCCACATGTTCCAACACCCTTTTTTTCTGGTAATTATCTCTCCTTTTCATCTCCCAGAGGGCTTTTCTTTATACTTTTGGACAGGCTTATGAAACTATGAATGAAAATCAGTTAAGTAAAACTCCACAGGATGGGCTTCAGAAATGAGCCCGGTGGTGGGTATTAAGGAGGGCACTATTGCATGGAGCACTGGGTGTGGTGCGTAAATAATGAATGCTGGAACACTGAAAAAAAAAAAGAAATGGGAAGTGTTTATTCATCAGGGAGTTGTGCAGAAGGGATAACATTCCATAGATAAACCATTTTATCCTAATCTTTATGCCAAGATATAAAATATTTTCCTACATGTCTCCTCCAACTTATTTCACTTTCCATTAGTGCTTCACAGGTGGGGTAAATATATATTTATCTAGAAGCAAAAAGTGGCACAACCTTCCTATATTACGTAGTTGTAATTTATAAGCATCTTCAAGATACTGTTTAACTTTGAAGATAATTCTGAAGATACTTTAACCCATGCTGGAGGGAAATACATTGGAATTTAGGCTTACTACCTTCTTTTCCTCAGCCACGGGAATTTGATGTTCGTGATATTTTAGGGCATACAGAAGGAGGTGCATAAACACATACATTTAATATTGAGTCATTTAAATATTCCAGTCAATGATAATTAAGAACCACTGAAATTGAATACAAAACCATACTAAGTGATTACAATAAATAGTGTCAATTTTAATTCTACTTTGGAAGGTTCATCTAAAATCCATCGTGATGTAAATATTAGCTAATCAAATGTAGCTCCTGATCACCCTGCATTATTTCTCAGTGGCTTTTTTAAAATTATAAATGTAGTATAGGCATTTTTCCCATTATTATGAATCTATCACAGCTCTTTATAAACATGTCTATTAAGTTCTTCTTCATAAAGTTATTTATGATTAGCTAAATAGTCTATGATTTGTCACAGTTGAAAATTTCTATCTTTCTAAATCATTCTTAAGATTTTTTAAAAATTTGCAATATTATTCTTTGGTCTTTGTTTATCCAGTATATTTTCAATTATATTTCCACAACTGAAGTGATTTAAAAGCAGTAACAGTATTATGTGCTGAAGGGTGTGAAGGATCCCCATTTTTATGATGGTAGGTCTTAACCCCTTCCCCCAAAGGAACTTTATTATTTAGACAAAAAATAAAAAAGAATAATGAGAATAATGCACATATGATATATGATATAAATCTATCACTTAGAGGCAGTAATTTGAAAAACGTTTTCCCCTTCTATACACTCTACTAATAACCAGTATTTATGGAGAAATTTTTTTTTTACCTCTTTGATGTTAACATACATTTGGCTCAGATTTGGAATAATTTACTAAAACTCATAAAATTACAATGAGAATATAAATTCTATAGAAACCCTTATTATAGCCCAAGTGATTTTTCTTCAAGAGTATGTCAGCTTTTCATATTTTTATATAGGAAATTATTATAAGCAAGTATGCAACAAAGATATTTAGAAAATGTTATTTTACAGAACCATTAAAATATGTTTGAACAATCAATGAGTTCTTTTTTCTGAAATTCATGCTTGTGAATTAAAATGCTTGTGAATTCTCAGATTAAACGTGATGATTTCTATTTTGTGGGTGATGGTACATGCTATACAGGTAGATAAGAGAACCTCATAAAAGGACCATACGGTGTAAGATTTTAGAAATTGACAAGTACAAAGGACCCATATGGTAACAGCTAGTGTACTAACAAAATTATTCTCAACCTGTTCATCAGAAATATACCAGTAGAAATAAAGGAAGATAATGCTCTGTTTCTGTAGTATCCCTTATTATTTAACAAGGTCAAAGTTTAGTGTTATTACAAGTATTCTTTGCTGAGCGCCTTGTGTTTGCTTCCTGAAACTATAATCTTAAATTATCAGTATAATTTTGTAGTTTGTAGAAAGCAGTATGAATATCCTTTAAAAAGACTTGGTAACAGGAAATAAAGTAGCTATAAAACTTTGTTTATCTAATTTTCTAAGGAATACTATTTCTCAGAGCATACTGTCTCTACCGTGACCACATTTTAACAAATACTGGATTATGTATACTGCTTTGTTTCCAAATGCATTTTAAATTTCTTCCATTTTGTTTCATGGAAATAACCAGATCAGGTATACTTACTAGATACCTAATTTTGGTCAATCCTAAGAAATATTTACTGTATAGGAAATTGGACATAATCTTTTATTTTTTAGAAGTCAATATTTTAGAATTCAATATTTAAAATAAGTCTACAAAAATTATAAAAAATAGAATACATTTTACAATGTTAGGATTAAATTCTCCTTTAGTTCCACGGATAAAACATTTGGTAACACTTCAGAAGACAAGGCACAAATTTTAGGGGTTTAATATTAACACTTTTCAGTATCCTATAGTATTTATATTTGAACACATTTGAATCATGTAAATTCTAAAATTTGCTTTTTTTTTCTTTTAATCAGCATAAAAGTTGTCTGAGGCAAACTATCTTTCTCACTTCCCAAATATGTATTTCTTTGGAGGAAAAAAAAAATGGAAAATGAGTCATTTTGCTAAACATTTTTTTGAGTATTTCTACTAGCATAAATTTTTTTATTCACCACAAATATTTTTAAACTTTCATTTTATTTGTTGACTCATCATGAACGCTGTGGTACCTCTTTCTGATCAAGGAACTATCTCATAAAATTTACTGTAGGGTAGAAGCCTTACCTGTGTTGATATGTAGCACGATGAATTACCATCTTTCTGTTGCTTCAGCCTATTGGTGTAGGTATACCAACAATTAATTTAAGAAAAAGGAGACCCAATGTTCAGGTAACTGTGAATGAAGCTAGCAGTGGCTTCAAATTTGCTAAATCAGAGTTGAGATTAAGCTTCTCTTCCTAAAAGCATATGATTAATGCTGCCTTTCTTGACCTCAAGCTTCCAGAGCATGAGTTGGAGATGAGCATCATTCCTCAATAAACTGGAGCAAAAATGTTATTAATGATGGCAGAGGGTATGCATTTGCTAACTCAAGATTGCTGGCAAACTATGTAATTCATTAATCAGAGCAATCATAATGAGATGGCCTCTAAAAATAAATTTGTTATTAAATATTGTGACATTAGTGTCAAATCCATGTAATCCTAACAATGGTTTGTAAAATTAACTTCTAAGTGGAAATAAAAATACAACTCTGATGGGGTAGTTTCTATAAATCATAAAATTTAAGCCAAATTTCTTTGTATTTCTAAAGTGTATTTGGGGATTAGAGGTTAGAAAAATTTCCCTTAAGCTAACTAACATGTCCAGAATTGCAAATAAAGGTGCATTTTTATTGCCTGACAAGCTCATGGCAAATCTTTTCTCTTTTGTTAGCAAAATTTAAATGTTATTTTAGGTACGCATATTTCTATAGTTACACTAAAAATCATCAGAAAGGATACTTCTCCAGTTTAGTGCAGTATAGTAAGGGAATTAGTACAGTAAGACAATTTCAGAATTCTAAAGGAAGTTCAGTGTGACTTAATGTTTTACATATAAGTCTGTCATTGCTTTAAAATAAAATTAATGATATAGTGGAGATGTAGTATGATAGTAAGAAGAGATTATTCAACTGTGAACTAGTAAAACAGAATTTTACGTTAGTTGTACTAACGGCTAATACTGTATCTTTGAGGAGTTCATTAAACCCCATCTTACTTTAATTTCTTAACCTGAAAAGCAGGAGGATTGAACTAAGAATAATTGTTTCTTTTTATCCTACGTTGTATGTTCCCCCAGGAAATTAAATATACATGTTGATCTCCAGCTCCCTCTCCTGCAAATTCTGATTTAATATGCCCAGGGATGGGAACCAGGTTAATGAATAGTGTTTCAAATTTTCCAGGTTGTTCTCAAGTGCAGAGACCCTTCTGGTTTCTTGTAGCTCTAGAATTCTGTGCATTCTGATCTTCATGTTGTTGTATCAGTCTTCATATCTTTTATGATAACTGTAGAGGTTAAAATTCTATTTATGTCTTATCTTGATTTATTCAATTGTTTTATATTACTCTCCTTGCATGCTTCTTTTTGTGTATTCAATGATACTTTTTCATTCATGTACATTTTAGTGAATTTTCATTTTTATTGTACTTTCAAATATTGCATGTAAATATTGGGATATAATTTGAAAATAAACAACCTAAAAAATGGTTTGTTTTATTTTCCTTTTCCTTCTAAGGAAAGCTGAAATGGCAAATTGGTGACCACACAAGATTTTTTAATTTGGAAAAATATTATTTGAAGTAGATAGTAATTTTCATAATACTAGCCATTAAGTATTTCCATTTAAAATTTGTGTAAAAGCCTACTTTAGTTCTACAAATGATGTTGTTTTTATGTCAGCTGATGTTAAAATTTTGTACATGAGCAATGTTAGATATTAAAATACCAAACAAAAGCATTGGGACAGAAGGGACTTGATTCCCTTCTTGGGAATCAAGACTTGCTTGGTGCTTTTTTTTTACTAGAAGATTCTACTTCCAGGTTTTTCAATCACTGTGCCTGTGATTGGTCTTTTAAAAAATGGTCAGCTAGCTTGCCATTTAAAAAGTACAAGTTATGCATTGACATTTTGCTTTTATGATTTCATTCTCTTCTCTGTGTCTTTATATGTTGGATTGGGACATGATCTTCATATTGCCAATTCTTCCTGATAATGCCTCCTCCATGCATGCTGTTTGGGTCTGGTCATGCTATGCATTATCCATTGCATGTAAGATAATATTCTCATTTATGTTTATATTTTATCATTTTGATTATCTTGACTTTGTTTTGCAGTGAGTGTGTTAAATTCTTAATGCTGTTACGGTGTTGTGTGAAGATGATTTATTTCAGGGGACTTTAAAGAAGCAATTCTGAATAATATTGTCCACTTTAGAGTATCCTTTTGCTAGTGACTTCCTTGGTTTGGTATTTTAAGTAAAGGATTATAATTATTTTTGGTATTGATTTTTATTTTCTCCTTATGAAATATGCTACATTTCCAATGAGTATTTCTTCTGAGGCAGTATGTTGCTGTCCAAACAGTGGTCAGTATTATCACCCTATTAAACAATCTAATTTTCAGTATTCTAGACCCTTCTGACTCAAGATACCAAGCTCATGAGCAGTGAATATTTTTTTAATAAAAGTGCCAGACACAGTTGAGATTGTTTTTTCATTTGCCTTTAAGAGTACCCATTCACCAAAACATGGGAATCATAAACTTTGATTATTTAAATAGAGTTATTCCTTGAAGGAAGGCATTTTTTTTTCTCAATTATAAAATAAACATGTGCCATATATAATGTCATTCAGCGTTTGAAATAAGTGTTTAGTTTTAACACATTTTTAATTACTATTATTGTTTTGGGTAGTCAGTCTTCCTAAAACTGTTTATAATAGTGATACTCTGGTTCATTTGGTGGTTTAAGAAAATTAAAAATTTTCTAAAAATAATCTGAACATGTTTTGGAAGAGCCCGTGATGCTGAAATCATTAAAATTCCAGTGACCTTGCGCTAATACAGAAAAATTTGTATTTTTTACTTCTGTCTCATTAAATACCACATCATGGTGGTATTTATTTTAGTAAACATTAAAAACCCAGTTTCTAAAATTAAGTAGTTGTAAAACTGTGGACGCCTGTTAGGACTGTATTATTGTAATAAACTTTGATATTCTTTTACGGCATGTTCTATTACTTAGTGGTGTTATAAGAGCCTCAGTGTATTTTTGTTTATCAAATAATTGAATAAGTTCATTTTATGATTGAGAAAGTTCTTTAAATGTCATCTGAGGTGAATTTGCCAGGCTAACGGTTTTATTTGATATATTTATGTAAATAAAGAATCTGCCTTGTTCCTCAGTTAATTGTCCTTATTATTGCACACCCGCAAGAAGAAGCAGTAGGAGATATAAAGCAGGAGACCATATTTAGTGAACCCAAGGGTTGTTATTTTAGTTAAATTTTAATTACAATAGCTTATCTTTATTCAAGTGCTTGTGACTTGACCACAAATTTTATCTTATAAGGTTTATTTAATTTGATTTGCTAAAATATGTCACATTTCTGAGATTCCAATATATGAAGTAAACTTGGATTTTTTTAATGCTTCCTAAGAATATGCTTAGAAGAGTTAGTTTCACATAGCAAATTCAAATGTAGTTTTTAAAAGATTTTTCCCTCATATTACTTCTTTTTATAGAATATAAAGAGTGTGAATTACTTTTATGTTGCCCGGTCTAACTGCCAAATATGTTATCCAGATGGGTTTATTTTGCTCCTTTCCAATCCTAATTAAAGGAAAGAAAGTTGTGAGTTAGACCTTCAACTGTCCAGTTCTCACAGAACTTGTAATTACAAATGTAGTATCTAACACAGCACTCAAAATGAAACTGTCTTTGGTTGGTGGCAAATTAAAATTTTCCTGCTACACCTAAAGCTCAAATCCCTAGCCTACTTATTGTTATTTTAAAATATATGTATAGGAAACTGTATATGTTTATGTAGCTATTTAATATACCTTAGGTAAGTAACATCTATAGAATTATTTTCATATTTGAATATACACTAAATTATTTATATATAGCATTTTTTTACAATGTTGTATATGCTTAATTATTATTATTTTCTGTGTAGAACCCCAAATCTCAGGAGCCAGTAACTTTGGATTTCCTTGATGCAGAATTAGAGAATGACATTAAGGTGGAGGTGAGTGAACGCCCGACTAGTACTCTCGGGCCCGATGCTGAGGCTCATCGGGCCCACAGTACCCGTTGAACAGCTTCACTGTGTTAGCTTCTCTCCTAGGTACTAGGTACACAGTGATGAATGTTCTTTGTCTTTAAAATATCTAGATCCTGGGTTCTCTCATCCAAACTGTCATATGGAAAGGAATCAATATTTTAATTTAGGTGTGACATTAGTTTGTTCCTTTCTCATTCCATATGTAGAGATGTTTCAGTATTTCAGTACAAACGTAACTTGTAAATTTCAGTACACAACATAGAGATTGAGGACATTGCTGTAGAGTTGGAAGAAAAGTTGGAGGGCATCTAACCACCCAGAAAGTAACCTGAGGAGAAAACCTGCCATGTTTGTCTTAGTACCCTTGACCCAGAAATTTCTGTTTTATTTCAAAACCAAAATTGCATGCCATTTCCTCTGAGAGGATCTTCTATAATAATGAGGATAATAATTAAAAATAACAATATTTATTAAGCACATAATGTGGGTCAGTCATAGATTCTCAAGAGCCTTTGAAGTAAGTACTGTCTTTATATGATCATTATTTGTCATACTGATGGTATGTTTTAAGTCCAGAGGGTTAAAAAGCCTGTATCCAGCTACTCAGCCAGTAAGTGGCAGGACTGGCATTTGAACCAGGCTCTTGCGCTTCAGAGCAAAGATTTCTTCTAGAATTTGTCAAAGAGCGTCTTAATATGCACTTGCTTTACAGCATTTTCCACATTGACTCCCTCATTGTAGAACAACAGAATTTAATTATTATTACTACCCAAGTCCAAGGCTAGTGCTGGGATGTCTTAGGTGTTTAATGAATGTTTGTTATAAATTATTTCAAAATGAGAGAGCAGGATCATGTAATGTTGCAGAGTGTGGTCTTTGGACCCTCATGCCATGGGGTGATTGTAATAATACTATCTAACCTGTTACGGCTCAGTTTCCCCTCTGTCAGTCCCGTAAAGTAATTGCCCATTTTTTCATTAACATTTAAAAAATTAATGATGAGACTCTGAAAAACAATCTGAGGGGTTTGAAGGGGCGGGGGGTGGGAGGTTGGGGGAACCGGGTGGTGGGTATTAGAGAGGGCACGGATTGCATGGAGCACTGGGTGTGGTGCAAAAAACAATGAATACTGTTACGCTGAAAAGAAATAAAAAATTAAAAAATTAATGATGAGGATACTTAATTAAGGATGCCTCTATTATTATGACTATAATGGGATAACTTTTAAAAAGAATACGCCCAAAGACAACTACAACTACTAGTATAACCACCCTAGTATTTTTATTCAGTCTCTTCTAAAACAAGGTATAAACATTAAGAAACAAGTACTTTAATAATCACACTTTGGTAATCAAGTGAATACTTGCAAAACGATTCTTTCCTCTTCCTGTAGATTCGAAATAAAATGATCGATGGAGAGAGTGGAGAAAAAACATTTAGAACTCTGGTTAAATCTCAAGATGAGGTAAGAATTGAGTCAGGCTTACTCTTAAGTAAAATGTATAGATCAATAATGATATTGGTAGTTTGTCTTTCCTGTTAAAGCAGTATTTATAAAACAGATGTCTCAAGTAAATACATGTTTTTAAGACTTTCCTTGCTGAAGGATATCTTAAATATATTTTAAACTCTTTAATATTTGTTAAACATTTTGCTTTATGTTTCTTGATGTTGTTTTACATTTTATCAACACTATGTTCTTGAAAATTATATTTTAGGTCTCATTTTTTATCATCATAGAAAATAGAGCACCCAATTTAATGTTGTGCCATCTTCTCTTAGGGCATTTCAGTCATGCAAAATTGAAGTTAATATTTAAAACTGTATGCATTAAATGATCTGTGCATGCACATGTTCTAATTTGTTGAGTTTCATATATTATTTTGTTTTTTTGTTATTTGTCTACTTTTGTTTGGCTTATCTTCCTTCACTATTTATGCACTTTATAATTCCTTGCATTTAAATCTGAAATTAAATCAAGGGGTAGCACAACTATACCCAGAAATTACTGGTACAGATATGTAATACACATATTGTTTTACCTTGATGTAGAAGAACTCTGTACAAGAGCAGTGTGTCTATCCGTTATCAGTCGTATGTGGAGTAAATACACAGACATTAATATATTTGAATATTTGAAAAATACACAGAATCCAGAGGCTTTGGAGCCTGGAAATATAAGTGTTTTTGTTTAACTTCTATCCTTTCCCTCACAGTGCCATCATTTTAAATGTAAACATTTCTTTTGAATTCCTCAGCAGATCTTTCTCTAAGATGGGAGCTAGGATCCAAATAGGATCCTCCATTAGCACTTGGCTTTTCTCACTTAATATCGTTAGGAGTCCCCATTACCAGAAGACAGGAGGAGGTATATATCAATTTCAGTCATTGTTGAAACTTCAATTCTCTTTCCTTAGACTGTAGCCGTGTTCTTTACCCATCCTCTCTTTGAGGAAAGATGTAAACCATTAAGCAGTTCTGCTGACTTTTCCGTGTTGTTCGGCCAAGAACTCTTTGCCCTGCACTTTCTTTCCTCAACTTATAAATTAATTTTGTTTATATTAAGTCACATTGATGTTTTCCTCCTTTAGTTTACCACAAATTCCTCTAACCAATATGTAGACTTTTCTTATTAACCATCTAACCACTTGCAGACTTTCCTTATTAATAATATTGAAAGAAAATATTATCTTGTATGTTTACTTTTTTAATCTGATATACTGTTTTTAACTTGCTGAACATCACTAATTTGACATTTTTTTTTAAAGATTTTATTTATTTTTTATTTATCTGGCAGACAGAGATCACAAGTAGGCAGAGAGAGAGAGAGGAGGAAGCAGGCTTCCCTGCTAAGCAGAGAGCCCGATGTGGGGCTCGATCCCAAGACCCTGGGATCATGACCTGAGCTGAAGGCAGAGGCTTTAACCCACTGAGCCACCCAGGCGCCCTTTGACATTTTTTTTATGAGTGGTATGAAATACATGAACATTATTTCTTTTCTTTTTTAAGAATCTCACTAGTCCAAAAACTTCCTCATCAGTTCCTGTTCTCCCTCCCTCCATCCTCCACACACGTAAACCAGAGGAATATTTGATGAATAAAGCAACATGTATGATTGCTTTAAAATGAATTTGGCATCATAAATTTCCTTCATCCTGTCAATTTAGATATTTTAGAAGATTTATATATTTTTATTTCATCAATAAATTGTAGAACAGAATAGTATTTTGTCCAGGGGTTGATTAAATTAGACAGTGATTGTAAAGTACTTAGTGTATTGCCTAAAACAAAGTAACATATCAGTGAAGATTGTTGTTCTATGAGGATGATAAAGCTGGAGAGAACTAGAAAAATATGAAAATGTATATATGCCTTCACCATACCTAATGAAAGAAAGAATGATAATTTCTTTACTAGTATTCGGTAGCGACATATGAAGAATTCTGTATCCATCATGGTGTTGAGCTCTGTACTTCCTTTTCCTGGTGGATTTAGTTGTTTTTCTGACCCTCACTGGTACAAAGTAATTAGTTTCTTATGATAAATACTATAACAATGGCTTAATACGAACAGTAATACGCTAACCATATGTTTGGATCTAGAAACAGTGCGTTAACTTCCTGAGATTACCAATTTCTCACAAACACACTCTAGTATGAAAATATCTGAGGCTTATCTAATCTATCCTGGTCCTATTTTATTATTAAAATTTGGTTTTTAGAAAATGTTTTCAAAGGTTTGAAGTTAATAATTCAACATGAATTACTAAGATTTTGCACTTGAAAATCTTTAAAAGTCATGTGCAGGTATTTATTTTTGTCCTAAAATTTTGCTTTACTCACATGCATGCATATGCACATGCACACTCGCGCGCACACACACACACACACACACACACCCGTAACAATTAATAAATGTAGAATAGATCATTTGTGAGGGGAGGGTATTGAATGACCACAGAATTTATAAATAAATTTTAGTGTTCCGCTTTTCATATAAGTTCACATAGGTTTTATAATGTGGTAACAACCATATCAAACTTTTTTTGTAGAGGTACATTGACAAAGGAAACAGGACATACACATGGACTCCTGTGAATGGCACAGATTACAGGTAACTAATTAGATTTACATATGCATTATATACAAGAGTTTTCTGTTGAGTGTCTTTCACCTATTTCTAGTAGCAATTTTTGCAGTAGATAAATATTAAGTCCTTGCATTTTTAGAAACTATTTTCATTATAATTAAAACAGAAGAGTTATTCTTTCCAGTGTAAAAATGTATTAAAATTATAGCTCTGATTTTCAAAATGGAAAAGATGGAAAAAAGCTAGGATTATAAAATTTAGAAATGAAAACCTGCGTGATATAAATCCATTTGATCATTTTGCATATCTATGTTAGCAATAATTAATGTCGACCAAACCCCCTAATACTTAGTTTGTAGTTACTGCTTCCACTGATTTCCTCATTTAAATTGTCAGTTAGTTTGCATTGCTTACATTTAGGTAGCAAATTAACTTAAAACTTGTCACATCATAATATGATCTGATATAAAATGCTCAATCCACACAATTTTCCTCCATGCGTGGCAAGTCCGTGATATCCTGAGCACTCCCATGGACAGGGCCTTGGAAAGCTGGACAGACTAATACCCTATAGTGTCTTGAAATTTCTCTCTGCTTCACTCATTGAGCATTTCCTTTGCTTTCTTGGTCTAACTCTTCTCTGAGGTCATAGCTTTCCCTGTGGTCCTATCCCTCATGCTCATAACACTGAGGTTGATAGGAATATTTCCTTCTTGTTACTCATTAGCTCTTCCTCTTCTCTGAAATCCCCATCTCTAAATCTAAGTCATTTTCTTTGCATTCCTGTAGGATTTCACTTTCTGGCTCGCTGTTAATTATTCATTCATGTAGATCACTATTTCTCATGCTATTTTTGACATACCCACACTTTCTTGAAACAAAACAAAATTTATTTCCTAAATCACCTTTAAAAAAGATTTCAAAATGCAAGCTTAAAATTTTTATTATTAGATTTCCCAGATCTAGAATTAGTCTGCCAAATTATTGAAAATTTTTGTAAATGCTGGGTCTCAAATTTCTCTATTTAACTCATTCTGAGCTGGTAATAGAGAGTTTGCAGATGGGCCAGGTCTGTGGCCCACACTGAAACAGCATGGACATCGATGAGTTTTTTAGTACTTGGACTCTCAGTTTATCTCCTCTTTACTGTGTGGGAAAGTGTTCCCTGCCTTTTTTCTTAGACGAACAAATTCTAAAGTAGAAAAAACTGGATCCCTTTAACCTTGACAATGAGTCAACAATAATGGCAGTCATCATTTTTTAAAATTGTCATTATACCTTGCTTTAAATGTGTTCGTAAAAGTTTCACAAATGTCCCCTACATTCGACCTCTTTCCCTCACACACGGTGATGGGACTAACTGTGGCCAGATTAATACCCCAATTCTGAGTATGTCATTCCTTGTTCATAAACCTTGGAAACCAAATGTTTCCATTTTCCTCCAGGTTAAATTGGGACTTCCAGGTCTGCTTTTCTCATCTCACATTTCTCTCCCAGCCCGTGTGCATGTTGTGTCTCTCCCTGTCCTCCCCACACAGTCGCTGCTCTCTGAACAGTCCCAACTTTTCCACTTTGGCATGTTTTCCTCACACATTCCCCACCCAGTTTTACCACTTAGGGCCAGATTCAGTCTGTTTTCATTAAAAGTACTTTCCTGAATCGGTGTACAAATAAATGCACAAGTAACAGTGTAGAGCAAAATAGAACATCTCTGTTGGAGAAGAAAAGGAAATGGCATGTTTTGACTTAATGAACGAAGTTCCAAATTTCATTTAGTGATTTTTGTCTTTATAAGCCTTGATGTAATTCAGTTATCACAGTTGAATTATAGTAATTAATTATTTTTATAGACTGCTCTTTTTTTCACGGAGAATTTGATTTTATAGAAACATGATTGAGTTAAATAGGATGTTATATTCCATTTAACTAAGGTAACCATGTGTATGTGAGTCACAAAAACATTGCAAGGGCTCTCACATTCACCTGGTGGCTGCTGGCTTTATTAGGCTTTAGTCCTTAGGAGAAAATAAAACAGCCTTGGTCCACTGGTTTTATACGGGCAGAGACAGCAAACACTGCCCTACGACAACATCATTGTTGCAGAATGTTGGTAAAGATCTTACCTGCTAGATGTTGAAGAAAGAACCATTGCCTAGCGATGCAAGTAAATTAACTGTGACTGTATTTTTCTATAAAATGAAGTATAGCTTTTAATAACAGCCTGAGACGTGCAGGCCAATAAAATGTATATTTGATATGTCAGTTTTAAAACTTCTGTTGTGTTCCTCATGAGTTCCAACACTGTTTTTATGGTACATGAGATGTAACCCAAGCTTAGAGAGTGACGCTGGGGCAGCCACATGATACAATGTTATCGGTTTTAATTAGAAGTTTCTCTTAGCGATAAATGCTGATGGAGCAGTAAAAATGTCCTAATTTCCCTTGAGAGGAATTTGTAGGAGACAATCTTCAAATGCTCAGTAATTCTACTCTACATTTTATAAATGGCAAGTGAATCATGAAAGGTCATCTTGCTTTCAGACTAATTGCACTGCTTATTTTAATTTTAATCTCTGCCTCCACTTAAAGGAAGTTACCTATAAAAAGAATGGAGAGATTTTCATTAAATCTACATAACATTTTATTTCTCTGACCTTTTCCCATAAGGACAGTCTATGAATTACTTAATGAAGGAGAAAGATGTGGGAATTGGAGGTAACAAGCATCCACTCATTTTGTTATCTTGACTGCATAATTAAATCGTAGGAAATAAACCTTTTTTTTCCCTCTTCGTAGAGTGAATTTCTATCATATACAGTTGTAAGAAGGAAAACCTGAAGTTTTATTTTTTTTTCCCCTGTTGTGTTTTCCAATTAAAAAAAAAAAAGTAGATAGTGAGATTACAGTTTGGGCATTCTTCTCAAAAGCCTGGAAAACATGAAACATGAATGATTTAAAAGATCTGCAAACAGGCAGAAATACTCAGAAGCCTAGAAACACACACCTTTGCTTGTGCATTGTGAAACTTGAGAGTAAATATTAAAAATGAGCGCCAAGTGACTTGTTTGGTCATGTTAATCAAGAGTTGCTTTTTGAAAATACTTAGTTCCCTGGGAATCTTCTTCTGCCCTCATTTTTTGTACCATTAGTTTGTAATTCTCCTTCAGTATTAAAGCATAGTGAAAGTCATTTGCAAGTGTAAATGGAGATATGGAATAGTAGTTATGTCCTACACAAATACATTAGCCCTTTCAAGGGTAGAAGAATTACATGCAAGCAGTTGTATTATTTCAAACTGCGTAATAATCAAATATACCAAGGTCTTATATGCTATAAGAACCAATAGGGTGAGCAGGCAGTCTTTCTTAGTGCTGTAAGGGGATCTGAATTTTCTTACCAGCAAACTCTAGGGAATTTGCCTCAAGACTATAGTCTTAACGTGGGAGGTCTTTAACCCTCAAAGGGGTATTTTTCAGATGAATTTATGCATCGTGTCGTAGAAATGATAATACTTAACATTTGTAATTTTTAAATAGCGTACATTTGCTGCAGAGCACTCGAACATGGTTTATAATTCATGAAAGAGGGGTATCCAATTAGTATAGTATTTATTTTCTTTAAACCTAACCGTATATTCTCCATCTTTTTCAACACTCCAAGTGTTTCCGTACATGTTCCTGGAAATACAGTACATATGACATTTCTTTCTCAGCTAATTTGCGGGCACATTTAGTAGCTTATTTTCCTTGTGTCTCTTCTGATTCCCTACAACATAGAGAACTGGAGGACTCTGGATCGCAAGACTGAATAAAGTACTCTATTCGCTGAATGCATTTTCCTGTCATAGTAATATGTCTCTTCTTTCCCATGAGGAAGATCTTTGGATTTTCCATTAACTGGATGTGTCTTTTTTTTTTTTTTTTAAGTTGTTTGTTTGTGTTTATGCTTCTCTTGTTTCTATTGCAGTTTGGCCTTGGTATTACCAACCTACAGTTTTTACTATATAAAAGCCAAAATAGAAGAGACAATAACTCAGGCCAGATGTAAGTACTGTGAAAGTGACCCCAGAGTCTATTTACCTCTTAGTATCAGATGTATAAATTTGTCTAGATTTTAGAATGCCCAAGGCCTATACATTTTAGTAGGTGTTACTACCAAATCTACAGCAATGATTCTAACCCATTCCAAACATGCAAGGAACAAGAAATATTCTACGTGGATAGAATATGAGCAGGTACCCGGTCACTGGCATCCCCACCACCCTACCCTGCCTCGCTTCGTGCTCATAGAATCATTGCAGTGCTGTGTTCTCTGTTGCTGTCATTTTAAGGGTCTGCTAGCTGGTGCAAAATGTTTCACATGGTCTCTACTCATGGCACTGTGCTAATAAGGCTTTAACTTTTCTTTTTCTAATTTTTTTTTTTTTTTTTTGCATTTGGCTAGAATAATATTGTGCTCCACATCTTCTATTTTGTTTGAATAAGTTAAATTACATTGGTCTTCGGCTTTGGTTTGGCAATTAACTTCCTTCTGATAATCCAAATGAATAATGTCTTCAGTAACTCAAATGGATTATTTTTTAAAAGCATCATTTAGAATGTGGAGTAATTACTAACATTAGTGCATATTTTAAGTCATTAGTAATCTTTGTTTTTGGTGACTAGACTTAGTAAAGTAAAATGACCATCATATCCTTTGTATATCAGCTATTACTAACAACCTAAATTTTTTGTTATGATAAAGTAAAAAAAAAAAAAGTGTGTATATACCTTTTATACCTTTTACATCTGACTTTAACTGTAATTTCTTTTATTCTCCTGTTGGTTCTTTTTTCTCTCCTCAATCCTTATTCCCACTGTGCTAAATTTAGGATCTTCTATTTATACTTTGACTTGATAGATATGATGGTCTTTTTAACAACCAGCAACTTTGCATGAGCTAGTTCTTCACTTGATAAATGAGGGGATGACTAGTTGGTCTTTGAGGGTTGGTTAATGCTTCTGAATATAGGCTAACATCGTTGCCATTGCACCTGCATTAAACACTTTGCAAAATAGACCCTTGAAATCGCCACAGTACAGAGAGGGAGCTCTAGTAGTAACTGACAGGACATACCTTCCAGTCTTCAAAGAGATGTCTTTTTTTTCCAGACTTCAGCTGTACATAAATATACCTTTGATCTATGCACAATATTTTTATTCAAGAAAGTCATTGAATAAAATATTGTTTGTGACCCCCTTTGCTTTACCCTCTTTTTTTTTTGTTTCCCTGCTTTCTCTTTCTGATGGATTTTCACAGCCAAAAAGGGCAAAATGAAGGGCAAGTATTTTCTTGTTGCTCAATTTCTTTCTGTTTAGTACACTTGACATTTCCACTGATATTTCCATTCCTATTGGATATTATCCTCTGTGCTTCTCATCTGCTAGATTTTCCTCCATGATCACTCAAACCTTAGCAGCAGAAATGGTGGAAAGAATATGCTTGTGTTTTCATATGCAATGTATTTCACATTTAGGTTTTTTTTGAGGCTTAAATACTTGTGTGTTTTTAGCCTTCCACCTACTAATTCATACCTAATACGAAGAATGTTACTAATTAACTAAAGGCATTGATGAGTTTATTAAAATCATTTTCTTTACCGTAATATTGATAAAAATTTTATGTTGAGGTTTTAAATGAAATAACTCTGATGTAACATTGATATAAAAGGTACCATGGTTATGGTATGTTTAGTAAATGGAAAACTTCTAAGACAGCATTTTTCTTATATAACTGGTCTAATTTTTGTTATGAAGTTAAAATGGATTTTATAATTAGATTATGCAGTATTAAGGACCTTTTAGGATAAAGTACTCTTTTTAGTTTTTTCTTAGTAGGTTATCATTGTAATGCCTTCATATCGTCGTAGAAACCCAAGATGTGTACACTGGATGGCTTATCTAATCCTGTAACATTATCTTTGCAGATTCTGAAACACTGAAGCCGGATAATTTTGAAGAATCTGGCTACACATTCATAGCACCAAGGTTGGTTTTGTTTTGTTTCATTTTTTTATAACTTCTATGGATAAGTAAGCCTTCAGTCACAGTTCTGAGTTAATCCCGTGCCGAATTATGGAACCAAAGAGAGCAATAACTTTAAAACTGAAGCTATATTCTATTCGTTCATTGACTCAGTAAGCAACATCCTAGGCTAAGCAATGTTCCGACTCCAGGGACCTATCGGTGAATAAGACAGAGGTAGACTTTGCTCCTATTGGAAATAACAGTGGTATCCATCAATAGTGAAGAACTGGGTATGTGCCTTTGTGCGTACACAGACACAAACATACTCTGTATGTATGTGTGTATAATATACACATACACACGGGGGATATACTGAGATATCTACAGATCTATATGTGTGTATAGACATAAGGTTAGAATATCTGAACATCATAATTGCTTTATTTGAGTGTTCTAATAATGCTCTGCAAAAGCATTTTAATATAGTGACATTTTCTCACATACTTCTTAATATTTTTTTCCTCTTCCCTAATTTTATTTCTCATATAATCCCCCTTCTCTAACCCTAATACACATCTTTCTCCCTACCTCTATTTTCATGTAATTATTTGATACTCAATAACTCAAGTGTTCTTTTATTTTTTTTTCTTCGTTCTTTTATTTTTTTATAGGTTTTTATTTGATGTTAGTTAACATACTGTGTAATATTAGGTTCAGGTATATATATAGAGAGAGAGAGAGAGAGTCATTGACCACTTCCATATAATACCTGGTGCTCATCACAAGTGCCCCCTTTAATCCCCATCGCCTATTTCACCCATCCCCACATCCACCTCCCCTCTGGTAACCATAATTTTCTTCTCGATAGTCAGTTAAGACTCTGTTTCTTGGTTTGCATCTCTCATTCTTTTCTTTTCCCTTTGTTTCTTAAATGCCGCATCTGAGTAAAATTATACAGTATTAGGCTTATTTTGCTTAGCATAATGCTTCTGTCTAGCTCCATCCTTGTTGTTGCACATGGCAAGATTTCATTCTTCGTTATGGTTGAGTAATATTCTATCGTGTGTATATACCACAGCTTCTTTAGCCATTCATCAGTCAGTGGATGATGCTTGCGTTGTTCTCATAATTTGGCTATTGTAGATCATGCTGTATAAACATCAGGGGGCGTATCTCTGAATTAGTACTTTTTTATTCTTTGGATAAATACCTAGTAGTGAGGTATTTTGTAAGATAGCTCTATTTTTAAGTTTTTCGGGAACCCCCTATATTGTTGTCCAGAGGGGCTGCACCAGTTTGCATTCTCACCAGCAATGCAAGAGGGTTCCGCTTTCTCCACATCCTTGCCAACACCTGTTGTTTGTATTGTTGATTGTAGCATTCACACTGGGGTGAAGTGATACATCATTGTAGTTTCAATTTGCATTTCTCTGATAAGTGATTTTGAGCATCTTTCCATGTGTCTGTTGGCCATCTGTGTGTCTTCTTTGGAAAAATGTCACTCATGTCTTCGGACCATTTTTAAATTGGATTATTTGTTTTGGGGTGTTGCATTTTATAAGTTCCTTGTATATTTTTGATCCCATCCCTTTACCAGATAGGTCATTTGCAAATATCTTCTCCCATTCCATAGGTTGCGTATTAGTTTTGGTGAGTGCTTCTTTTCTTAGATAAAAACTGAGCTTTTTATTTTGATGAAGTCCAGATAGCTTATTTTTGCTTTTGTTTCCCTCAGGAGACATGGTTTCAAGTCTCCCATTTAGGTCTTTCATCTGTTTTGAATTTATTGTTGGGTCTAGTGTAAGCAAGTGGTCCAGTTTCTTTCTTTTGCACATTGCTGACCAGTTTTCCAGCACCATTTGTTGAAGAGACTTTTTCCCATTGGATATTATTTCCTGCTCTGTCAAAGATTAATGGACCATATAGTCATGGGTTCATTTCTGGGTTTTCTGTTCTGTTCAGTCGATCTCTGTGTCTGTGCCAGTACCAGACTGTTTTGATTACTACAGCCTTGTAATGTAATTGGAGTTCAGAGCTATGATGCCTCCAGCTTTGTTTCCCTTTGTTCCTTGGTTCTTAATTTGCACTCTGTAGCAAACACCTATAATAATATCAAATTAATGTAATTCTATTAACCTAGGCTAAACTATTGAAGAGAAAAGATTTAGAATGCTATATCAATAATTTCTCACATTTTATACTTCTTAAAGAAATTCCTGTAAGAACCCAAAGACCACTCACAAAATTAAAGTGTAACTCAGACCAATTTTGGAAGGGAATACTTTTTGACAAAACTCTGCTAACAAAGCATGTTTTTGGCATCATGAGTGACTTTGTCCTTTAGCAGCTTCTCCTACTTGAATTTCCGTCATTGTCTGATACCGTTGAATCCTGGGGGATTCTTTGCCTCCCCTTGCTTGTGACACCCTATTTGGGTGTTCTTCCTCCCTCCCTGGGCTGCAGAGTCAGTCTCTATCCTGAGGGTGCTAGCTTAGGCCCTCTTGTTATTCTGTGTCTACAGACACACCACCCATCTCTTTGATGTTGATAGTTTGAGGCAATGCCTTCAAAATCCACAAAATGGCCATAATGTCTAGAGACAAAGGAGGCATGCCATTTATTGAGATTACATTATAATATAGGATCAAGCAATATGTTTCCAGACTTTATGTCTACATATGTATTTCAGTGGGAGACATTCATGTTTATGGAAAACTAACAGGAATATCTCTTTGGTGTGATTCAGCTCAGCGTCTCCTAAGCATTTGTCTTTGCTCCCTTTCCTTTATATCTTTTACTCCATCACCAAGTCTTGCCAAACAGAATTTATCGTATGAATATCAAGTGTTTCTGCAAAACTCTGCTAACTTTCTTCTCATCCAGATCAGTGCTTTCTCAGACCTAAGCTACCACAGCTGCCTCCTACTTGACGTCCCTACCTCCCCAAAGCCCTCTTTACTTCCCAGTCTGGTCTCATTTCTGTAACTGGAGAGAGTTTCTAGAATGTGAATAAAATTATGTTTCTCATCTGCTAAATGTGAACCAATAGCTCAACAGTGTCTTGTGACACTCTGTACCTTATATCGTAGCTTTCAGCTGCTCTGTTACTGGGTCCCAGTTTACAGTGTGGTCCTTACACTCTAAATCCGGGGCCAGCAAATTATAACCTGCAGCCTCCTGTTTTATACAAAGTTTTGTTAGAACACAGCCATACTGGTTTGGTGCTGTATTGTCTGTGGCAGCTTTCACTACAAAGGCAGAGTTGATGAGTTGTGGCATAGACCTTATAGCCCTTGAGTCTGACTCATTTATTATCTGGCCCTTGAACAAAAAGTTTGCCAACCTCTGCTCTAAATTCCAAACACATTAAACTTCTCTTGGTTCCTATGTGTGCTTTTTTTTTTCCCCCTCTTAACTCTGGATCCACTAATTTACTGTTTTGCTCCGCACTCAGGCATAGCCCACCCACCCCTTCCCAAACCCCAACTTCAAAGCTCCTCTATCGAGGAATTTCCTTACCATTTTCACTGAATTAGACATCCTTGCTGACTCTTTCATTGAATACTGTATTTCCCTTACTAGAGCACTGGTCCATTTTACGTCATTTACTTTCCCCAGTAAAGCAACAACTCAATCTAATTGACTCACCATTCAGTACCCAGCATCCATCCCACTCATTGCCTGGCACACATTAGGTGCTGACTAAATATATACAGTGTTTGTAGAATCTATAAAGATATAAAGAATATTTTAAAACTGATTATTAAAATACTTGCAAACTTAACATGTTTTCCAATATAACTGAGCATCTTAGAAATGCTAAAACCAGTTTTAGCTAGAAAGAGTATTAAAGGCAGAACAAGATCCCACAGAATATTAACATATTGATTCATTACGTGGTGTAAGAGTGTTGAAATTAGATGTGATACATTGATAAGACTCTCCTTCCATCTCCGATCTGTTTTTTTCTAGGCAACTTCTTCACCCATCTCTCCCAGTTATTGAATAGCAGACCAGGCAGACTGGCTTTCTGAGCCATACTGTTAGACAGTGTGGAAAATATGGCAGAAGTCCCAGTGCTCACAGAGGATAAATGTAGCTCTGAATTCCAGTTCCCAATTTGTAAGCAATGACTGTTGAGTTCAGCAAGGATTAACATATGAACCATTTCTGTGGTATGACTGGAAAAGTAGAATTTACCTATGTGTTTAGAGAAGAAGTAAATAGTAGAGAAGGGAAATGTTACAGCTTGTGGGACAGTGACGTTCACCTCAACCTGTTGAACCTTTTACAGGAATGATTATTTTTACTGCTCCAGAGAACTCTGTAGTAAGTTAGTATTATCCCATTTCACAGATTAGGAAACTTTCTTGCTATTTCAAGATCTAAGTATGTATATTGATTATCAAAGGCTAATCGATCTTAGAAAAACATCCAGTGCCTCTGAGTAAAATATAAATGTATAGAGCATTGTTTTTACTGTTAAAAGTTATGCAGAGGGATGAAAGGTCTAAGTGACTAAGAAATGGAATAATTTGGCTATTTTTCAGAAATGAAAAAGGCATTTCAAAGATGGGTTAGAATGGGAAAGGAGTGGTATGTGATAGCCTGTAATTAAAGCTGATTGTGGGAGGTAGTCCATTTTAGCTCTGTCAATCATGCAAATTTTCTCCACCCTGTCTCAAAACAAAAATTTCTACGAACTGAGAAGTTTTGTGGTTTTGTGTGTTGTGTGTGTGTGTGTGTGTGTGTGTGTGTGTGTGTTTTAAGTTTGTTTTGGAAGAAGTTCTGACGTTCTCTTTCTGCTCTCTGAGGCTTTCTATTTAGGTGATGGTCTTGCCTCTGAAAATGTTCACTACACAATTGCACTTCTGTCCTCAATATTTGATTATCCCATATGTTGCATTAACCTAGTTAGTATAATGACAACCTTACATTTATGTTGTTTTCTATTTGTTTTCAATTTCCAAAATACTTAGGATAGCAGTTCTCAAAGTAGGGGGTCTCAAAACCCTGTGGGTTCCAGAGGCCCTTTCAGAGAACCGACCAGGTCCTAAAACAGCGGTGATGTTTGTCTTTTCTTCACATCGACATTTGCCAGGACAGGAGAAAGACCATGAGGAGCTGATACCTTAGCAGGAACCCAGGCAGTGACACTAAAGGGTCCTGGTAGCCACTGTAATCTTCCTTGCTGGGAGAAAAGCCAGTCTCACTTTAAAATAGCTTTGATGGAATCAGTAAAAATTATTCACTTTATTGAAACTTTACCCTTGAGTACATGTCTTTTACTATTCAGTGGGAAGGAAATGGGAGTTCTACATACCAGAGTAACTTGGCTATCTCAAAGGAAAGCACCTGTGTGACTTGAATTCAGAGCTAAAATACGTGCTCCTTGCACTTTTTTCAGGAAATAGAATTTTACTTGACAGAATGACTTAGGTATTCGATGAACATTTTCTCAATAACCAAGTAAGGCTTCTGCTTTGAAGAAAATAACAGTGTTTGTTGCTCATGACAAAATCTGTGCTTTCACACAAAAGTAAGAATTTGGGGGAATTCATATTTACTGCATCCCCATAGTTATCTGGTGAGACTAGTGATAATAATGAATGTGATTTTTCAATTTTATAGTGAAATGTGTCGTCATTTGGCAGATCTGCAGATTTTCCAATGACCAATTCATGATGTTGCAAAATCAGGTTGATTTAAAATGTAAGACAGTGCACTGAATTTTAATGCAACAGTACAAAAAGTTGATTGCTTCAAATTCCATATTACAACTAACTACCAAGAAATTACTAGTAATCAAGTTTTGGTATATTATTAAAAAGAAGAAGAAGAAGAAGAAGAAGAAGAAGAAGAAGAAGAGGTACAACACTTGGGAAGCATATAAAATAGTTCTTTCTTTTCCAACTGCATATCTTTAGAACACGTTTTTTTCATGTGCCCAAATAGAATCTTGCTGTTGCTAGAAAAAAGTATGCCTCTGCATTCAATTAAGTCCGGAATTAGAGATTTGCAAATAGGTAAATCAGTGCCACTTTTTTTCCCTGATAGGTTATTTAATTAAAAAAAAAAAAAAGTAATTTCTCATAAAAATGTTAATATGGAATGGGTTTATTCTGGCTATTTAGTGAGTATTTTCCATTTTCTCTGTTAATTTCTATATGGAAACTCCAGATATACAACATACATTGAAAATAGTGCATTTAGAACAACAAAAGGTAACATTTGTTGAGCACCTGTTGCCAGAGGGCAGGTGCTTAATATATATTATCCACACTACTCACCTCTTATTGTCCAAGTTTTGTTCCATTATACAGAGGAGGAAATGGAAATAAGAAATTAAACAGCTTGCAAAGTCACAGAGGTAGTAAAAGTGTTTTTACTTCCTCTGGTGGCTGTGTACTTTAAAAAAAAAAAAAAGTTGTGGTTTTCATAGCTGATGTCTTATTTTTTTTTCAGAGATTACTGCAATGACCTTAAAATATCAGATAACAACACTGAATTTCTTTTAAATTTCAATGAGTTTATTGATAGAAAAACTCCAAACAACCCATCCTGTAAGTATAGATAGATTTGTAGTAATTATTTGGTGTCACTATTACTGTATCCAATGTGGTCAACTCTTGCTTCAGATTTGTGTGTTGGCATGCTGGCATCTTGACTTATGTTTAAATTTTTAATGGTAAAATGTAACAATTTGACTTTTTATATACAAAAGAATTTTTATTTCATTATGAAGGAAAATGACATTTTCAAAGCCAGGTGATATATGCCTACAAATGTTTAAATGTAAATAGGGTATCCTTATCTTGGCTCTTTTCAAATTTAAGGAACTTAATTTTGATGATATATATATACACACACACACTCTGTAGCCTCTTCTCATTTATTTTAAATTCAATTAGCCAACTTAAAGTACATCATTAGTTTCAGATATAGTGTTCTATGTTTTGAAGGCTTTTCATTGCATTGTTCTTGCTATATAGAAGAAAACATACAACATGTTTTTATTGATGTATCTCTATCCTCCAATTTATATAAACAGTTTTAAGATGAAGAGAATAAAAACAAGGCATAAATTAAAATATATCACTTAGTGTTTTCTGATCAATTTACAGATGCTTCTATTTTATGAAGTTGGAACAAGTTGGAGTAAATAGGAATTTTAATAATTATTCTTTAACCAGTACATTTGTCTTTCAGAGAAATTTACATCAGTCATACTATAAAACTTAAATAGAAATTAATGGATTCTTGGCTTTTTAAAACATTTAAAAATCTTAACTGTTTTCTTACTAAAAATATCCTATAAAAATACTACCATGAAAAGATGCAGTGGAGATAGGTAAATGAGAGGAAAACCAACTGCATGGCAAAAATTTCCTTAATAAATATAACTTGGGAAAAAAAAAAACAAAAAGTAACAGTAACTGACTTTTATGTCCTTTCCTCCTCCTCCCTGCATCATCACTTGTTCTCCTCCTGTGCTTTTTTTTTTTTTTTTTTTTTTTTTAAGATTTTATGTATTTATTTGAGAGAGAACACGAGCAGGGGGAAGAGGCAGAAGTAGAGGCAGAAGCAGGCTCCTGGCTCATTCTTCAGATGGGGCTCCATCTCAGGACCCCCGAATCATGACCTGAAGCGCATTCAGATGCTTAACCTCCTGAGCCACCCAGGTGCCCCTGTGTTTTTCTTTTTTTTAAATCATTTTCCTCAGGAAGAGTTAAAGAAAGCACATCCTCAGTTATAAAAAGTGAACTAAAGCCATCTCTCAAATTCAAATTTATCTCAGAAAATGAAGGAAATTCCTAGTACTACTCCTATTAGCTACCAGAATTAGAATGAGCTACTCTGAAAACTGGTCATGGGTAGATCAAACCCCAGAGCCCTAAGTAGAGAGTAGTGGTGGGATCCCTGCTCAGCAGGGATTAGGCTTCTCCTCTCCCTCTGCCCCTCCACCCAGGTTGTACATGACCTAATAATAAAATCTTTAAAAACGTAGTTGTAAAATTTGTATTTTCCTCTGATAGTGTTTTATATCGTAGTTTACTCAATCATGCTTCAGCTCAAGTTATTAAAAAATGTATAAAACTAAAAGTATCAGTGATTGAAATCTAAATAGTTTCTTTTTTAGGGGTTCAGGCTATTTTAATTTTGCTTTTATCAAAGTACTTAATCCATCAGAAAAATTACAATTCTCACTGTTTAATTTATTCTCCTACCTAAATGTTTCTGCTGTAAAGCTGTTGTCTTCTTCATATCCCCCATTATTTTGGAATATAAAAATGAGATTATATGTGTGTAAGACAGTAGAGCTCAATACTGATAATCTCTTGATGTATGCAGCAGATATATTTCAAGACATATTTTAAAATTACAGTGTAATTAAAATATGAATGCAATTATGAAATAACTCGCAACACTGATTTAGATTATAAATTAGAATAATGGTCTCATTTCTTTGACCTAAAAGGATTTGCAGCAAATATATCTTTCACTTTTCAAATGGACTGTTTTTCAAAGTGATTCATTTTCTGCTATGATAAAAATAGTTCCTAAAATGAGGTCTAAAATATGGATTCAGATGATCCTTTAAAATTGGGTGAAAGATACATTAAAAAGTATCAACTAAGATGTTCTCCAGTCTACTCCCGACCTCTTGTAGTAATAAGATCTTAAGACCCCCTATTCCTTACCTGAATAAAATGAAATGTTATCAAAAAATGGGAAGTTTCAGAGGATACTTGGAGGTATTCAGAGTTTTGTGGGCTTAAAACAGAAGATCCAAGAGAAATGAAAAGGTGAAGTTTTTGTTCAAGAATGTTTGTTAATTGACCCTTGGTCGTGGCCATCTGACCCTCCATTAACTGTGAACTTGGGCTAAGATGTCCTTTGGTTATTCCAGAAATGACAATCTGAAGCCTGTGGTCTTTGACCATTACCTACAGATTCTGTGTTAAGTTATTCCATTCCTTGGCCAAAACATAAAAACAGAAAACTATACATATTATATTGTTTTATATTTATATATAAAAGTGTCCATTAAATTATGATTGTTTGGAATCCCCATACTAACTTAAAAAAAAAAGGAGAGAGGAAGGCTATTTCCTCAATGTTTCTTAAAGTTTACAAAGTAATTTTCATTTAGAATTGGCTCTTCTGTTAATCCTGGCCATAGCCTGAAAAATAGGAGGTAAGATGAACAATATTTTAAAAAATGCAGAAAGTTAATATTGGATATATTTTGTAATTCACGGAAATATTATCCACTCTTAAGTTGCTTTTACAAATAGAGAATGTATTTGTTTCATTAGTATCCTAATGAAGAAACTATGTGGATGTAAATTGAGGCTATCCTCTTTCTGTGTTAGGTAACACAGATTTGATCAATAGAATCTTGCTGGATGCAGGCTTTACAAATGAACTTGTCCAGAATTACTGGAGTAAGCAGAAAAACATGTGAGTATTTGTTCTTATTAAATATATATGTGTGTGTTTGTGTGTGTGTATAGCATCTCTGTTCAGTTTTTCCCCAAGAAATTTTTGGAAAATAGGTCTCATAAATTTAGACTTTATCATCTATCATTAATAACAATTTCCTGAGAAAAACCTCTTCCATTTGTTGACAACTTACATTTGCAGCTGTGGGTGTGTGTCAGGACAAACACATGCCCTTACTTAGCTTTCTCGGCTTATATGCTGCAGTGTGACAAACCAAGTTAAATAGGCGTGTTAGTGTTTCAGTGTTTGTGATAGAACAGGGCTCCCAGTGAACGCTCGATAGACCTTTTAATAACACTACCATACACCCAGTCAATGAATTAAGAAATCCAGTTAAGGTTCTCATTTACGGTCTCTACTCCATTTCCAGTCAGTCACCAAATGCTAAATATTCCTAACAACATAAGCCCTGTCTCCTTCACACCCAAGTTCCTAATTTCGCATTTCTAAGAAATGATAGCAGCTGCTCTTTCTGCCTGTAGGGCTTCCAACTCCACTCCCCACAGAACTCACCCCTGCCTGTCCTTACTCTTAAAATGCAGTTCCGGTTGCAGGATAAAGTTGAAGCTTTCTGGCATAGGTGTCAAGATCATTGATGAAAGAAGCTGGTCCTTGAAACTTTACTTCCTGTTGCTTCTTACCTTATGCCTTATGTTTTCATGACACCAAATATCACATTCTTCATAGGCTTTCCCTTAACATTTACTCTTGGCTCTCCGTTTAAGAGCTTCCTGCTCCTGCTGTCATCTCTGCTAATTCAAAATGCAGCTGTATTCTTCCTAAGTGGTGTGTTCCTTGAGAATCCTCCATTTTCCAGATAGTTTCACTCTAAAAACATAGTTTACATATATTGATATATTTACTTTGTCTTCCTTTATTTTAGGAATTCATTTTATTTCATTTATTAGTTATTATTACTCATTATTACATCAACACCTAAATTATTATCTTACGGAGAGTAAGTGGAATAAAGAATTTCCTTCTTCTGTCTTCTGTTTTAGCAAGGGAGTGAAAGCGCGGTTTGTTGTGACTGATGGCGGGATTACCAGAGTTTATCCCAAAGAGTAAGTTCAAATAACATCTGTAGAAATCGGTGTATTACAAGAGACTACTCTAGGCTATGTACATTGCTGTGTAAGGAAGCCATTGTGTAGAGAAACTGATTCTTAGATTAAAATGGAGTCACTTAACCTATGAACAATATTTAAAAATGCATATTTCTTTTAAAATGCTATATGATTATTCAGTGATAATTTGGATATTTTGGGTATTCCAAAAAAATTTTTTTTTATTCCAAAATTTAAAAGATTTTTTTTTTGTCTCTGTAGACACAAGCCAACCTAAATGAACATAATGGTCATCGTCTATTGACAATGCTTCCACAGCACTTCATTGTTTTCACTGTTCTGTGGATCTTATCTCTTATCTTCAGAGCAGTCTGTAAAGTGAGCTGGGGAGGCTTATTACTGTTAATTGACCTATTAGCTGACTTATACATAATTACTTGCAGAGCAAAAACTAAGAGCTTTTTCTGACTCTCAGTATTGTTCTACGGTGATGTATTGCTTATTAACGAGTATCATTTATACCATCCATTACCACTGACTTTCTTAGCCATACCTGAGATGTAGGCATATCTGTAAAATTTCATGATGTTCATGGCAAAGTAGGTTATCAGGCAGATTAAAGAATAAAAATGATGAGCCATTTTCTCCTTAGGGCTGGAGAAAACTGGCAAGAAAACCCAGAAACATATGAGGACAGCTTTTACAAAAGGAGTCTCGATAATGATAACTATGTTTTCACTGCTCCCTACTTTAACAGTAAGTACTACTTGGAATTCAGCATTCTCAGTTTCCTTTCTTATTAAAACAAATTATTGTTCCCACCTGCTTGCCCCCCCCCCCCCCGTATATTTTAAGTTAATTGCTCAGAACAGTCCTTATTCAGTATATACTCTGTGCATGACATTGGAAAGACAAAAGCATCCACTTAGTTGAGGAGGTAAAATGCCTACACAGCAAATGGCCAGTAATGAAGAGATGGCATGTCTCCAGGCATGCATAGTACATAGCAATACATGTAGATAATCCTTTGTTTCACAAACTACAAATAGTTGATGAGTGTTTAATGACTTTCAAAAATATAATGAATCCGTTTTAGTTCAATATATTTTTTATGAAACTTATCAGTAGCCCACATTTTTAAAATATTTTCCTGGGTTCTGCCCCAAATCCTTCCTAATTTAATCCCCGAGCCTCTCTGAGGGGAGGTGTTATTCAACCTCATGTTCATAAATGGGGAAACAGAAGTTCAGAGGTTTTGGAGTTCTGTCGAGGAACTTTGGTCTTCTAAAATGCAAAGGCCATTTTGGGTTCTAAGAACAGTCTTTCCACTACACTTCAGTGGCCTCCCCAAGATTTTGGCAAATGTCACGAAGCAGAGATTTGGCAAGCACCTATTACGTTGTGGAAGTATAATTCCCATCCCCAAGTCACTTCATTCAAGATAACTCACGGCCACTCCCCTGAGGGAGTGGTATGTAGAGAAAGAAGAGGGAAGAGAGGACTGACTACACACCTCCTTGTTACCTCTCTGTTCTAGAATACTTAAGCAAAACACTATTCACCTATTAAGAGAAATTCACTATTTGATGTATCTTGACAGGACTGTTTTCCTTTTTTAGTGTTGTTTTTCTTTTTTAGAAAGCGGACCTGGTGCTTATGAATCAGGCATTATGGTAAGCAAAGCTGTTGAAATATATATCCAAGGAAAGCTTCTTAAACCTGCAGGTAAGAGTGTGTAGCGTATACAGACACGTGACCAAAATGAACTGTGACCTAGTATTTGTATTAAAAGTTTGCAGTACTTAACCAGGAAGATCATCAGAAAGCCTGAAGCAACATAAAGACAAAGACAGACATCCAAATTTGTAAAAACGTAAAATACAATTAGTTACCTCTGAGACTGGGGAGGAACAAAGTTGATACTGTACAGAGGGGAGGGCTTTTCAGCGCATGTGTTTATGCAATGCTGACCCAAACTCATGGAGTCAAATCAAAGTTCTAAATGCCAGACTGATCCAGCACCTCCACTCCATAAGTCTGTCCTACAAGGTACTTTCAAGGACACAAAAGGGTATTCAGCCAAGGATGTGAGTGTCTGTAATAAGTTAAACAGGAAGAATAAGTTTTCATCTTTGGGGGAAAAGATGAATAAGTTCTGGCATATCTATACTGTGTGCCTGATAAAATGGATTAGGTAAGAATCTTTTTTTTTTTTTTAATAACATTACAGTAAAATAGAAAAATGACTTTTCTTGATAAATCAAGAAAACAGAAACCTCATAAAACTGAGCATCAGTGGGAACTGGAAGTAGACTGGAATCGTGGATGCAATAAAAGAGAAAATTCTTTTTTCATTGTATGATTCAGTATCTGAATGTTTAAGAAAGCATACTTTAGGCCAGATTGGGATGGTCGATAGCCTTCTTGCTCCTGAGGGCAGTTTTACCCCTCACTGGTTCAACCACCAACTCCATCACTAACTTACCCCTTTGGGGGCTCATTTACTCACTCATTCTCCCAGCCGCTTGTCCTCTCACCTCGCACTTCCTATCTATCCTGGACATACATATATTCAGCACCTGGTGTATGCGTTGATAGGGCTAGGGAAGCCTCTTAACACAATCTCCTTGAATGATCTCCTATGGAAAGGCTATTCCTGACGCTACCCACTTTTTTTTTTTTTTTTTTAAGCTTACTCTGTGTATTAGTTAATTGGCCAGGTTGTAGCCAATGAATAAACTATGTTGTATATATACATAAAATTATTTAATAGTTTAGGAGCTATTAACATTACTTCTTGATGAAAATTCCAAGAAATAGATCTTTGTAATAAGCACTAGATTCAACCCAAATTTAATGCTAAATTATCATACAGCAAATATTATATGGCTCCTAAAGTTGCAACTTTTTTATTTTTATTTATTTTTTTTTATTTTATTTTTTTTTTATTTGACAGATCACAAGTAGGCAGAGAGGCAGGCAGAGAGAGACAGCAGGAGGAGGCAGGCTCCCTGCTGAGCAGAGAGCCCGATGTGGGACTCGATCCCAGGACCGTGAGATCATGACCTGAGCTGAAGGCCGAGGCTTAACCCACTGAGCCACCCAGGCCCCCAAGTTGCAACTTTTTAAATTGAATCAACTTTTCAGGGTATAGCTGTAATTAATTTAATCTCAAGAAACTTAAATTTGCCTGCTCAGGAATACTCAAATGTGAGGGGAAAAATAGATACTAAGAATCACAGCCATATTTTTTCAAATATATGTGTCAATTTTTTTTTCACATCATTTTTCAGTTGTTGGAATTAAAATTGATGTAAATTCTTGGATAGAGAATTTCACCAAAACATCAATCAGGGATCCGGTAAGATTTTTTTTTTTAAATGTTTATGCTATATTTCATGTCAGATGCAAATAAGAAACTAAAACTTTAAAAATTGACAAAATAAATTTTCAATGCTTCTAAATTGAAGCAGAACTATAAATTACTATTTTTGGAAAGATTTTTTTTTGGTTTAAATTAGTTAATAAGAAAAATATTTCAATGTTATAGTTTGAAATGCTCAATAGCTATTTGATAGTTTTATATCTATAAAATTACTTTTTTATGATGGGCTAGGCTGTCATTTATTCTTACTTTTAGACTTGATAAATTATTCTAAGATTTTTAACCTGGTAGTAGTATATTATTTAATCTTTTTTTAAGTAAAAATGTGTGGCAATAATTATATTTTTGTCTTTCAGTGTGCTGGTCCAGTTTGTGACTGCAAAAGGAACAGTGATGTAAGAAAACTTAAAATTTTTAACTGTAATTTTTTGTGTTACCATTGCTAGACTTTAATGCTAAAATTGCAGGAATTTTTAAATAAACATTAAAATATTACTTTATGCAATCTTGAACTAATCTTACATCCTTGTTACATGCTTGTAATTCCTAAAGTTATTTTTTAAAATTTTTATTGTGTTATGTTGATCACCATAAAATACATCATTAGTTTTTGATGCAGTGTTCCTAGCCTCATTTTTAAAAATAATCACATGTTAAGTTTTTTAAAAAGCCTATTTCTGTATGGACTCTCGCCTCTACAATCTCACGACCCTGAGATGAGGTGCTGAGCCACCCAGGTACCCCTGAATGGGTAGTTTCTAACCCAACTGTCCTTTACTGGTTCTTAGGGCAATCTTCCCCTTTCTTTCATAATTTACCTGTATTTGGTTACACTATAGTTACAGTGATGAGAAAACTTTTTGAGCCAAATTTTGGAATTATGTTTTTTTTAATCAAATTCCACTTACATGGATTGGATTTTACATTGTCTTCTGTTACTTCTGTTTCTTCATCGGTTTTTCTCAAAAGTTAAACATTCTCTAAGAATGACTATATTAATTATTCCAAGAATAAAAGAGATGAATTCCACTATTTTCTTCTAGTCTTCTTATATGTATGTATAGTTCCAGTGGTTTATATGATCTTATCATTTCTAGTCATGCAAAATTATCAACCAATCATTTTATAGTTTCTCCATTTTACATAGACTTTATAAATATAGACTACGAAGACTATTTTCAGAGCCAAGGTTTTTAGGAAGCTGCTTCCACATTAGGAAAATGGAGTGCATATGTCCTCAACTCTGAAAGCAATGTTTTTGCTATTTCATAAAATAGAAATTATTAAACTGATTCATGCATTTAAACATGATATAAACTGGGTGGGAACTGATTTCTGTGATGAGCATTGTTTGTTTTGCTTTCTGCTTTTAAATCTAAGAATCCTCATGCTGCCTTTTTTTTTTTTTTTTTAAGTCTGAAGCATGGTGACTACAATGCATTTTTAAAGATATGTCTTTTCAAAGTATTAAGTGTATGTTTATACATTCTTAAATATTTTGGTTTATCCAATTTCCTGGATCATTTAGATGACCAAATGGCAACAGGAGTGCTATTTGGAATGGCTAAAGCTTATTTCTGATTTGTTCTTAGGATTTATTCATATTGAGTTGACAGTTTTAACTGGGTGGGTGTTGGGAATATGAAGCTCTGAGAGTTTGATATGAATCTGTGCATGTCCTTAATTTATTTCATCAAAATATCTTGATTATATATGTTTAAGTTGAAGCTTTCTCCTATTTTTGTTGTTATAGTCATATCTACCTCCAATGGAGTAATGATATGTATTCTCAAAATGTGGGTTGTTGTTTCAAAAATTTCATTAGGTAATGGATTGTGTGATTCTAGACGATGGTGGATTTCTTTTGATGGCAAATCATGATGATTATACGAACCAGGTAGGTACCTGACTGGGACAAAGTGTACTTTCCAAAGTGTATTTCCCTGATCAACATTACAAAAGTTCTTCAAACCATTACAGGAGTTAATGAGTTGTTATAACACTGCCATAAAATAAATTTTAAAATGCTAAATAAATATAAGCCATTAATAAATACATTCTAAATACAGTTTCCTAATATCAGTAGAATTTCCTTTCTAGTACTAACAGTTAACATTACAACATATAGTTGAGAATTTTAACATGAGAGGAACTTTTTGTCCTTGTTCACATTAAATATTAATATCTAATTTAATATATGGCTGCTTTAAACTGATGAAGTTTCTGTTCCCAAATTTGCATGTTGCCAGCATATAAGCAAGCTAATTGGCTCCCACAGAATTTTAAGCAAATTAGAATGTTGCCAACTTACTTTGTCTCTGAATCTACCTTTCCAGCTTCTCTTTAAAAAGAAAAGATCTCTCAACAACGAGCATTTTCTTGTTTATTTTAAAGATTGTATTTACTTACTTGAGCGACACCATGAGAGCACAAGGACGAGCAGGAGGAAGGGCAGAGAGGGAAGGAGAAGCAGGCTCTCTGCTGAGCAAGAGCCTGACCCAGGGCTTGATCCCAGGACCCTGAGATCATGACCTATTGTTAAGGCAGAGGCTTAACCAGCTGAGCCCCGCAGGTGCCCCAACAATGAGCATTTTCTTAACTGGCCATGTTTATGGGCTGGAGTTGATGAGCCTCAAGTTTGCCCCTTGAGGTTCCTCGTCTTTTTCCAGTCCCACCCCTTTCTCTCAGTTATGCTACTTTCCTCTTCCCCACAAGGAGTCGGATTGTGACCTTAACGCTTAGTCAACCGTGTCCATTCTTTCCACAAACATCACACAGAGCCCCCAAGCAGTGAGAGCCCCTCCTCTTCACTTCTTTCGGAACGTCCCTTTCAGCTCCCCGGCTCTGGTCAGCCCCAGAGTAGTTTCAGTTCACAGTTCATCTCACTGATCGTCGTGGCAGCAGTTGCGGTGTACCCATGTGGCGTCAATTTGAAACGTTCTCATTTTCCCGTCTGTCCTAGATTGGAAGATTTTTTGGGGAGATCGACCCAAGTTTGATGAGACACCTGGTTAATATATCAGTTTACGCTTTTAACAAGTCTTACGATTATCAGTCAGTGTGTGAACCCGGCGCTGCGCCCAAGCAAGGGGCAGGGCACCGCTCGGCGTACGTGGTCAGTAACGTCCCCACCCCGGTTCCTCTCCAGCAAACGCTCAGCGTCCATTCGTGTAACAACCGTTTCATTCTATTTTCCAGCCGTCGATAGCAGACATACTACACATTGGCTGGTGGGCCACTGCTGCTGCCTGGTAAGTCCCTATTTTCACTGGTACTGAGAAAGCGGGTGTAAAATAGTAACAGATTTGATGGCAATGCCCATTTTGTGGCATGTGTGTCATTATTACGGGAACTCCTTGTTTTCATTTCTAAGTCACACACTGATCATATTTACAAATAGTTTCTCCTCCACGGTCAATTTAAAGCAGTTACAGTTGTTTAGTTTTTCATACGAAAACAGGGTTTGCGCCTGCAGACTCCAACCTCTTCAGAGATCTGTTGCAGCTCTCTGCTGTGTTCTCTGTGCACTCCATTCTTTACATTTTAGGTCTATTAACCTATAAAAAGTTTTTACCTGTTGCCTTTAATATCCAAATTAGATGTCTTTGTGGATCAAATTCAAGACATCATGACTTCTCTTTTCGGATCAAATTCAAGACATCATGACTTCTCTTTTCACCTCCTATTTGTACAAAGGCAGAATTTTAGAGACATTGCTGAAATGGATATGTCTGTCTTTTCACTGATTGACCCTCCCTCCCTCCTTCTACACCTCACTTATACTCCACCACCTATGAAAATAAGACATTTAAACTGTTTGAGGCACTGTGGAAAGTCTGTAAGATCAAATTTGTCATCGTTTGGCTCTGGTCAGTCAAGTAACTCAATCTCCTTTTCTGTCTGGGATCCTTTCTCTCCCTCAACTCCTTACCTCCTTCCTATCCCCTCCCCCTTCTTTTGTAGCCTTTCCCTACCATATCGTCCCACCCTTATTCCGTGTGGATTCATCTTTAACATTCATTTGATGGTGAGGCTTCCCCAGCTGAAATTAAGTGGTCGCTTTCATAAAGCGGAACAAAGATTTTATGTTAACAATCCCATTTTTTCTAGGAAAAAAACCTGGAAAATGGTGCTTTCTGTTGTGACACTGGCATTTATATATTAATTGACTCATGTATTCTAAATATCATGGTATATGATTTTTTCCTGGCCAGAATCTACCTCTCACCCCCCTTTTTCTAACTAAATTCAATTCTAGGTGATTCTGTACTATCCTATAATATTGGCTTAACTGTCATTTACTATAAAACTGAATTGTACTGTATGCCCTAGATCATAGGTATATTTTAGTTTATGAATGTCACATTTTGTATCTCCAAATATATTCTATATTGTCAAGTAAAGAGTTCACAGACCGATGGCACAAGGTCGTTTTTGTTTGGTCTTTTGTTTTTCTCCACCACAGAGTGTTTAAACTAAACTAAGGAAGCACTCCTGAACATGAAACCTATGTCATGAACTATTGACACCAGAGCTACCACTCCTCCATGATCACGTGTCTCCTTAGGCCTCTTCACCCCTGCGTATCCCTCACCTGGTCCTGAACATTTCTGACTTCACAAAATTACACTGTTCCGTAAAATTTAAGAAATACTTACATAAAAATGCTCCTCAACTTGCTATTGGCCAATTCTCCATTTTTTTCTTAACAGATGCAAAAGAAATGTGTACAGGCAAAATTGCTCAGGTTTTATTGTGTAGTTTAGATTTTGATCACTAATCATTCATATTTACAACTTAGGTCTATTCTACAGCAGTTCCTCCTGAGTTTGACCTTTCCACGACTTCTTGAAGCAGGTATGTGAATACTCAGCTATTGTCATAATAATTAAAATTTTGTTTTGGGATGTGCTGAGTTCACCCAACTCAGTGAGAAAATATGTGCATTTGTGTCTATGAGAGAGAGAGAGCTCACGCATTTGGTAGGTTGGAATCTCTTTGCCAAAACTTAGCTCAGGCTTTGGCAACCTTCTGTAAAATGTCCTATTGACCTCCATTTTGTAACCTCCTATTTATTGAATTTATTGTTATTTATTGGGCATCTGTTAGGGGCTGCTCCTGCCTTATCCAGCAATAAACAAGCCACGAAGAGTGCCCACCCTTATACCCTTGCTTTTCTCTTTGAGGCATAAATGTCTGGGCATGGACCATAGTGTCTCCTCGTGGTGATCTGTGTTTTTTTTCCCCACAGTGGAGATGGAAGAAGAGGACTTTACGGCTTCTCTGTCAAAGCAGAGTTGCATTACTGAACAAACCCAGTATTTCTTCGATAATGATAGCAAATCATTCAGTGGTGTATTAGACTGTGGAAACTGCTCCAGGTAAACATGTCTTCCTTTCAGGAACAGTCCTAGTTCACTAAGAAACTGGATTCACTTTTATAATCATTACAGAAAATGAGGGGGATTATTGTTCACATCGGAGAGACACAGGACCATTTGTAGTTGAAAACAGATCTTTAGTTTGGCTGTAGGTTTTTAAAATTTACCTTCTCTAGAATTCATCCTGAGTGGCTAGGTTGTAATCCTGTCAACTATCACAATAGGATCAAGAAAATTGCACTAACTTTGAGGCAGAACCTAGAAAATTTTGGTTGTATTTTACTATATTTTTGTCTAAAAGGACCCTTCTAAGAATTTTTCTGAAGTCAGAATTAAAGGCACTGACTGTAATAATAGAATTATAGTAATTCTGAGTGATTCTAAGCCAAATATATGATCGATCGCTATTTACATTTATTTACTAAGTAGTTTTACAGAAGGGTGTTCTGGGGAGGGAGGTGTTTTATTTCTAATTGACAATTGAATGCATCTTTGAATTAGGATGAAAAACTAGGAGAAAAATACCAGTTCCTAAAAATCAAGGTTAATGTTAGTCACCAGTAGGCATAACACATCCTGAGTAATTTTTGGAAGAGATTGAGAATTTCATTTGGTTGTGAGGGATGAAAGAAAAAGGCAAGGTGGGATTTTGCAAAGTTTTGAGAGAGAGCGATCCCCCGTGTCACAGGATCCCTGAGAACAGAGAGGCACAGATTGGGGACACTTGAGGGCAGGTAATTCTAGAAGCAATGTTAACCTAGAGAAAAGGAAATAGGAAGAGGTGAGGTCATCTGAGCATGTGAAAGGGTTGGGAGAGTTGCTAGGGGATCCAGACGTTGGTAACAGACGTTTTCCAGCAGCGGTTAACTGCAACTAGCATGAATTTTTAACAGACCTGGTCAGTATGACTTTCTGAGTTTTAGCAGATCTCTGTGTTCTAGGAGGATGTTGAGGATAGGAAGAGAAGAGTCAGGCCTCAACTCAAAAAAAAAGATCATACCATCTTGTATAGAATTTAGCATATCAGACTGTCAAGTTCTACAAACAGATTTGTAGCTGTATGGTTATCTCAAAATTTCAGAATCCTTTGGCCTTTGACTAGCAGGTGCCTGGTAATAATCAATTTTTAAAGCACAGGTTGCTAAGTTAAATATAATGTACAGATTTGTAATCAATATACTAAGTTCAATCATAGTGTCTTTGAGTCACTTTATCCTCGTATCCCACATTCAGTGGAGAAAAAGAAAATTCCACTTTTTTGGGAAAATGTATAATCATAAAGAAATGACTCTTTAGCAACCAAGATGAAAATGTTACTGTCATTAAAGGCAACAGAAGCAGCTTAAGACATGGGGGAAAAAAAACAGAACAAAAAAAACCCTACATGGAATTGAAAGCCCTTATTCCATCTGTATCTGTGTTGTCCAGTTTAGTAGTTACAAGCCCGAGAGGCTACTTCAATTATCGATTACAACTAATATTAAACTTGGTGTCTCAGTCCCACTAATCAAATTTCAGGGGCTCCCGAGCCTCAGGTGGCGCTTATATACCATACTGGACAAAGCAGAAGACATTTCTGTCTCCGTGTTTGTTGAACAGCACTGACCTAACTCTGCCCTTAACTTGGGCAGGATATTTAGACATTTTGGGCTTCCAATCTGTAGATTAATTCAGTAATAAATACAATTGCTTAGCCATGTCAAATAAAACATTGATTCTGTGAGTTACAGCAACTCAGGAGTGCTTATTTTTCATTGAGGACTAACACTTAAAAATCTATTGCAATTTTCTAGTGTTCCAGAGAGGTAAGATGTGCATGCTAATGAATAAAAACATGGTCATGTTTCTCTGCTTAAAAATAATTTTGTTTCACTATTTATATTGGTGATGATTTGTGCCTCAAGATGTCAGATGTTGGCTTTCATTTTAATGTGTAAGATTCTTCAAAAGATTTTGGGTTTTTTCTCCGCAAAAGAAAATGTTCATTTTCTGTAATTTTTAAAAATATTTACTTTACAGAATCTTCCATGTAGAAAAACTCATGAACACCAACTTAATATTCATTATGGTTGAGAGTAAAGGGACTTGTCCGTGCGACACACGACTACTCATACAGGCAGAGCAGACTTGTATCCTTTCTGGGGTCAGAGATGTTGAAAGAATTGCCATCTTTCAGTAATACATTCGTAACCTTGTCACATTGTTTACACTCCAAGAGAAAGACATTCTGATGACTGTGATTACCCCACAGGGGCAGAATGGACTCCTCTCACGAAATCTGGTTTCACTGTGCAGACCGATGATGCTACCCAGGTACCAGTAGAATGTGAAAGGTTGCCTGCTCTTAGAATGAGGCTTTGTATAGGCAATAGTGCAGGTTTCCAAGGAGATCTGGAAATGGCTTGAGGGGCCATTGAAGGGGCAACTGGTCTGGGGTTCAGTGGTGGTTAGAGAGGTGCTGGGTTTTTGCTCTTGCTAGCCAGGGCTGGTGTGGTAGAAAGCTGTCAAAAATCGATGGTTATAAATGGGTTTGAGTGTGATGTATGCCTACGGTAGAATATTATTCAGCCTTAAAAAAAAAAATGGGAGGCCTGTCCTGGGCTCCAGCTGCAGTGGTAGTAACAACAAAACTTTCCTGGTTATAAATACGCTAAGGGACAGTGCAATGACTAGTAAATCATTGTGGACAGCAGAGATTCTACAGAGCGCCTACACTCTTTGCGTTTACCCCTGTTTTTTTCTGTGGGGGGAGGAGGGAGTTTGACATTGAGGTTTACTATTAACAATTAGTTTGTATTTCTGTCTTGCTCCATCAGAGGCAGCCACGTCCTTTCTTGCACTGTTTTATACGTATAACTCTTCTACTCAGCGTCATTTCTTCCTTTCATCTATTTATTTTTTACAAATATCTATTCAGTACTTGCCCAAGGGCATGCTCTACAGAGTAAAAATAAAAATGATCCCTTTGCAAAGCCACTAGTTTGACAAAAGAAAATTTCTAGAAGTTTACTTCCTTAAATCCCTAAGCACTGGAACTCATTGTGTTGGACTAGACTAATGGCGTAGGTGTCCATTCTTCTGTTGTTTGTGTGAAAAGAGAAAGAAACTTCATATTCCTTAACAAGTGTCTTCAGCTGATGGTCCAGATCCTTGCGATATGGTTAAACAACCCAGATATCGAAAAGGGCCTGATGTCTGCTTTGATAACAATGTCTTGGTAAGACCAAACGTTTATTGTATTAGAATATGAGAACTCAAGTGGTCATTGTCTTCAAGAATTTAAGGAGACAGATTACAATTTTAACTCAAACATAATCCTAGTGTTTCTCATTAGCATGATGTACTTGCTCGTCGATAGATTTTTCATTTCAGTATTTTTTCACAGTTAGCCTAAGCTTCACAGTTGCTTCTATCTGTCCTTCTCACAGAAATTGTACTTTCAAACACATTTCTGGTGAATCATCAATAGTAATTGACAGTGTTATTTATGATATGAGTTGCCTCCCTTCATTTATTCTTGAAGATATAAAAGGTATTTTGTATTAGTTTAGTGTATATAAAAGCCTTTGAAACAGCTATTATCCTATTATCTTTTTTTTTTTTTTTAACATGGTTTCTGACTCTATCAGAGATTTGTATTTTTACCTTGCATGATATTAGACCAGGTCAAGTACCAAGGGTTAAGGTGGTAAAATTATACAAAACATCTTTCTCGTATCTGATGTCAGGATGACCACTGCTTTCCTGTAGGTCAGCAGTCGTCCTCTGACAAATACTGATGTGACATACTCTGCATGCAGTCAGCTGTCTGGTTTTAAAATCATTTTAACCATTAAGAAACTGCATTCTCAAATGTGAAGGCCACCCCGTAATCCCTTCTTACTTTTATAAACTAATTTTAAATGTAATTTTCCTCGATTCTTACTCTTCATGGTGGGCCTTTGCACAAAGTGGCTTGTAGACTCCAAGGATCATGCAAAAAGAGAGCATTGTCTTAGGCATTGTTTATTCTAAACAAATGTCAGATCACCTCTTGATTAATGTGCACTTATGGAAGCTATAATTTTTTTAGAACAGACTTAGCAACTCCGTACTTATTTCCTCAAATGCACACATAGCCACCTTTGTCCTCCGCTCCAAAATAAGGTATTTCCACAGATACATAATACGCAATTAGATGACATAGATCGATGAGGAGGAGTAAGGCAAAGATGTGTCACAGTAAATCCCAGTTATCTCTGCCTGGACTATTGATCACTTCTCTGTGATGGAGAAAGTGAGTCTGAGTTGCCTCTAACTGTTGTTTTCCATTTTATCTGGTTAGACTTAAAGAACAATCCAGATCTGAGGACTTCTGTTGTTCCATCTGCTAGATTTTCAGGAGCTTTGTCCATGTCAAATCAGTCCCCAAAGAATGTTGACTGTGGGCCCAGGGGAATGCTGCTCATTAGGCAAACTTCATTCGTCAACTATTTGTCAGCACAGACTGAGATTAAATTCAATCAGCTGAACTTGAAAGATTACCTAAAAAGCCCAGTTGCCCAAAATATCTTCAGCCTAGGAGACGATCTGCTCCAAGGCCCTGGAAAGACTGAACTAAGACAAAAAATTGCAGTAGTTCCAGTCTTTGAATTCTACATCGGGGTGTGTGTGAAAGTACAAGTCTTGCTCAGTAGCTTACCTTGCTAGTGATGGCTCGTGCTGCTTTAACGGTGAAATACTTTGGTAATGCTTATTTTGCAATGGTCACTGTGCATCTGCTCTGGATGGAGGCTCACATGAACTGCCAACTGCCAGCAAACTGCATGAAATCTCATCTTGTATGTCTTCTTCTCTGTGTTTTCTTTCCTTTTCCTATACTTGCTACTTTGCCCGTTATTAAATAGGATCAACTTATGTGCACAACGAGTCGTGCCTGTACCATGATGTCAGTTCCTATCTTCATTTCACTGCAAGTTTTCATGTGGTGTGGATGATCAGTCACTTTCTCTAATTTTTTCTTTTTGTGTGTGTTTGGCTTGAAATTTTATTAAATAATCCACATCCCTAAATCCACTATGGTAAGTGTCCTGAAACCAGGTTGTTAAAATCCCATTACCTATATTGTTTTGTCAATAGCTGAATGCAAGTATTGCTTAAGTTTCTAATCCGAAATCAAGCATATCCTTTTCCTGTGTTTACTTAAAAATCAGTATTTCTTTTAAGGTTTTTATAAAGATTAAGTCACCATGGGGGAAATTATATATGCTTCATGAGGAGAAGTAGCTGAAGGGCAGTCAGTAGAGCTGGTCACCTCTATTTTCAAAAGATGCGAACATAGTTTTGGAAAATAACATTAATGATGAACCATTTAACTTTTATCCAAGTCAGTAATTCAGTTTTTTCCTTTTTAAAAAACAAGTATGACTTAATCAACTTTTTATATTTTTACTACCAAAATAGATATTCCTACTGAAATATTTTAGTACAAGTGCTTCCAATGTGTAAGATCATCTTACTCAGTATCTAGGCTAAAATGATCCTTCATTAACCTTTGCCCAATTTCTCAATTCTGTCAGTATGACTGAGTAGATGTTTTGGGGCTTGTGCTCAGGGATTCATGTACAGTTCTACAGTTTCTTTTCTGACACTCTGAAATCATCCTGACTGGTGTTACTGGAGCAACTTCTCTCCTGTCCTTTCTTCACTGCCGTCCAGGTATTCAGTGATTAGGGAACCACTAGATGGAGATATGGAGTGAGCTCATCAGAGGGGCAGGAAAGTGGAGTAGCAGCGGGAGTCTCAGAAAACGACTACATTTTTTTTCTAGGTTAATAACGGTTTTCAAAGCAAAAGATTCCAAGTGAAAGAAAGCTAGCTGATTTGGATAATTGAAAGACCAAAATTAATTGATCCTTTCTCCATGGATGTATTTTTAAAATTGATAACAAGGTAGCTATTTGAAGCAAGGTTTTACTGATCCCTGCCCAAGTGATTATACCATTTACATATGAAAATTATAGTAAAAATCCCACTTTCCATGTTCTATTTTTTATATTTCTCCTTATTTGTGATCATGGTAGAAATGAGCAGAAACATAGAGCTAAGGGGAAAAGGTGGAATAGAGGAAAAAGAGGAATAATGTAAATATTCACTCTACTTCTGTCCATCTACAATTTTTAGGTAAGATATATAGGCAGCTAATAACACAAAAATATAGGTCCGTTCCCTTTTACCTTTATGTTAAAAATTTATAGGCAAGCATTATCCCCTTAAAAATGTGATTATGAATTTTTCTATGGTATTATTCTTTCTCACCATAACTATAAACTTACCAAGAAAATAAATATCACTGTGGATTCAGCTGGATGGGATCAGTACATTTAATGAAATAATTTTTGTAAGATGGAAGGCACACACGTGGGATTCCCTGTTACTATGTCCTTGAGGAATATATAATGAGCAGTCTTGAGAAGGTGATGTATATGGCATATACTTTACAATAATAAGACTTGGGTTGAGTCTTTAAAGACATAGTTATCAGTATGGAATACCAAATCTAGTTTATGCAATTTGAGTGTTGCTATGATAACATCAAAAGAAGTATCAATTTCTCTGAAACAATGAAGTTGAAAAAAATAATGTAAACATTATCCCAAAATACTAAGATTAATTGACAGTTGTTCCTGACACTGAAGACCAATAAAGGTGAAAGTCTAAGTAAGCTTCAGCACTAGTCTAGCGCTAACTAGAATTTGTGGTGGGTGTGCTCCCAGATTTCCGACATCTTCTTAAGGATCATCTCTCTCTAAGCATTTCACGAAGGACTGTCTGAAGTCAAGACCCTTGTATCCTGTGAAGTCCAAGAACAGTATCAATTATAGATAAGCAGTGATGAGGACTTCATTAAAACACAAGTGTTCAAATGAGACCTTCTGACAAGATCATTTTGAAGATTCAAGTGGTAAAGAACAACAAAAGAAAAAGAAAGCTAAAGTTTAGGAAACAAGTAAAGCCAGTGAGAAAGTTCATTATTTTATGCAAACCTGATTTATGAAAGCACATCTTTGGGTCCATGAACAAGCAGATGTGTGTATGTAGGTATACGCACATTTAAATAGTTGAACAAATATGCTACCTACTTCATGGATTTATCTGGGGGTGGGAGGAGGGGGGAGATGTCTCCACCAGTGATTTGCCTTTTGAAGGTAATGACTGTAATTCAGTAAATAAATGAATTACTAATTATTGAGCTCTTACTATGTATAATTAGTTACCCCCAGTTATTCTGGCTTGGGAAAGACAGGCAGATTTAAGAGTTTAGCAATACTTGTTTAACAAGATTTAGGCCCTAGTATACATGGTCTTAAAAAGAAAACCTTGGGGCAGAATCATATGAATAAAGGCAAAAGGAATTCGTAGTAACATATTTATTAAGAATCTTTTGAGAGACGTTTCTAGATGAAAATTACTATCATATTTCAAAATTATATCTAATATTAGCACTGCATAGTCTTTCTTTACTTTAATGTGTTAAACTGAAACAAAGTACCAATCTTTATGAGCAAGAAAATCGGTGTTCAGGAAATTTTGGTCTATCCTTAAGACAGAAAAAATGCTACGGTTTCTCCCACATCAGTGCATTTGCGACTTAATTTCAAGTCTTGTTGTATATGGCTGCCCATGCAGAAAACATGACAGGAAACTGCAGAGACAGACTTTTTAGTGTGAATCAACTTGTAGACTTGAGGAACTCCAATTAACTTATCTAAACTATCCCCCTCCCAGACGGAAACTTACCTCACACAAGAAACGCAACTGAGCAAATAAATTAAAAAACAAACAAAAAAATTAGAAATATAAAAATAAAAGCAATGGAATCAGAGCCAGAGATAGTCTTTTTTCTTTACATTAATTGGAATTTCTTTGACAAAATACATTGTTAATACATTGATGGGTCTTGTTTGTGTGCTAATTTTCCATCCCATCAAATTAGTACTTACTATACATGTCTGAATTAGATCATTCTGCTGGGTGTGAGGTATTTGAGATAGTTTATGCTAAAAAATGGGTTTTTAATCTGGAATTCAAATGTAACTGAGCATTGTTTCTTTGATCTTGTTACCCTATCTAGAGGGAAAAGTGTTTGAAAAAGAGGAGCAAGTACGAATTCCCAGAGATAGTACGCACCTTGCCCCATTGCAAAGACAGTGATATTGGAGCAGAGGAAGTTGTTAG